TGTTGTTCTTGGAGATTGCAGGACAGCTCTCTTTAGACATTTCTAAGGAGACTCTAGTTGAGCTTGGACCTAGTCGGAGGCGTAGCGATGGGAGGGGGGGGGTACATATGTCTCCGGGCGCCGACCTTAGGGGGCGCCAAAATGGATTGTAAAAACAAATTAAAATGTCATTTTAACTGCATTTTGCAGTTTGAGCGGGGGGGGGGGGAGGGGAGGGTGCAGATCGAAAATTTGAGGGGGGGGGGGGGCAAATCGAAAGATTGAGGGGGGGGGGGTTGCAAATTGAAAATTGGCTCACGTGGGGGGCGCCAAATTGAAAGTTTGTCCCCGGGCGCCGAGAATGGTCGCTACGCCTCTGGACCTAGTGGCTCATCTCTACAGCTTCCTTTGGGGGTATCAAGGGTGGGCGAACCCCACTGGGATGTAGTTTATTATTTTTACTGTTGCCTTGGTAGAAGCCTTATTGGTTATGGCACTGCTAACTCGTTAGTTTTAGAGTTCGAATGCGGGTTCAAGTCAGTTGATCATCCCTGAGTCCACCCAACTCTGATGGGTGCCTGACTCACGTTAGGGTAAGTAAGGGCGGCTGGGCATGGTGCTGACCACACTATCCCTTCATATGCCGGGGTCGCGGGAACAAGTGAACACTACTTCACTTGCCCCGTAGACCGTCGGGTTTTGGGGGTAAGTTACTTTGCAGTCACTGCGCTAAGTAAGCTTGAACAAGTTGTCTCATACTTAATTGCAAGGTAAAAATCCTTAACAGCACAACGGTCCAAGGTCCCAACACCTAAAATGAAAACCTCTATCAATTTATAAATTTTATATTTTGAAAAAAGCTAATATTTTTCTATTTCAAAGGCTAAAATTCTACAGTTTCTGTAATCAATATCCCTGACTATATATTATTTGAAATTTGTGCGTTAATTTTAATTTTTAAATAAACAGCAATTTTCAATAATTTGTTACTGTTGAATGTATCTCTACATTTAACGATTTTTGGAAATGTAGCTTAAGGTTGTTTCCCCGGAAAATGTTTAATAGTTTAAATGGGAAGTAACTACTATTATGTAATATTCAAAGTAACTTTTTTAAAAGTTCCATATATTGATCCGTTTAAACTAAACTTATTTAAAAATACTGTAATACAATGTCATATTTCTTTTGTAATATTAAATTTATATTTTTGCACTAGTCACCAGGTTGCCCACCTTCCAGTGTAGAAACCATGTCTTAGATTAACAAGTATCTACGGGGCGCATTTTAGAATTTGATAGAACCTAGAAATTTTAGCGAAACGAAATGGCTAGGCTTGTTTTAAAATGAAATTTCATTTTACCTAAACCTAAGACACTGTATATAAAAATCAGTGTTTCTTCCAGACTTTTTTCACCGGGGGGGGGGGGGGGGGCACTTGAAATTTTCGGGGGGGGGGGGGGGGGTCGGTAGACTTTCTTCGGGGGGGTGGGGGGGTGGGCGGACACTGTTAAAAGTATATATTATCTATATAAATTATATACATTTCATTTCGTTCGGGGGGGGGGGGCGGTAAAAAAATTTCGGGAGGGCTTCGCCCCCCTGAAGAGGTGCCTGGAAGAAACTCTGTATAAAAATAAATGTTAGTGTAAATAGTTAACTTGCAAAAGAAAATTTTGATGATTATTTTAAAATATGATCTGAATTTAGGTTACAGCTTCTAAAAAGAATTGGCGCAGAGATGAAAAAATAGTGTGTATAATGAAAGAAGTTAAAATTAAAAGATATATAATTAATATAGATATATAGGTAAATACAAACGAACGCTTCAATGTTTATAGCATTATACATGTCTAACTAGCATTTTGATTCTCATTTTTAACTTATTTGAAGATCTGATTCTGAGACTTTTTCTAAACTACAATAAAATAAACCGGGAGTGATCTCCCCTAAACTTTCTTGAATATTCCTATATAAAACAACAGGGGATGGGAACTCGCGCTATAGACATGATTTTTACAAGCTTTTATTTAACTCACTTCCTCGTCAGTCGTCAGCCGGGTTTTTTTTTCACGGTTGTTTAACTCAGTATATTAAGACGGGATAGTCACGTGGTTCGATTGGGACGGGATAGTCACGTGGTTCGATTGGGACGGGATAGTCACGTGGTTCGATTGGGACGGGATAGTCACGTGGTTCGATTAGGACGGGATAGTCACGTGGTTCGATTGGGACGGGATAGTCACGTGGTTCGATTAGGACGGGATAGTCACGTGGTTCGATTGTGACGTGATAGTCACGTAGTTCTTCTTCTTTCTTCTTCTTTGTTCTTAATTTTTAGTGTTGGAAGGTATCGAGCCTTATCTGCCAGAGGGTTTGAACTCGAGACTTTTTCGAATTTAGCAACCATCACATTTAAGGATACGTGTAAACTGGTTATGCGCCATTGAGGCTAAACAACAAGGCAGCAGTTGTTTGAGTTTGGAGATGTGTCCCCTAGCAGAGTGGCTGTCCCCAGCTCATCTGCATGAGGGTTCGAACTCGAGACTATTAGGTTTAGCAACCGTGAGCTTAACCGACTCGACCACGCCGACCACTTTCGCGTGGTTCGATTGGGACGGGATAGTCACGTGGTTCGACGTGTAGTCTGTGGGCCCTGAGGGAATGTTCGATCACTCGTTTTCGATTTTGGCGTCACCCTGGACTGTAATGAGCGCCCAGCTTAAAGCTGGTGAGAGTTAAGGCGCCTGGTCAATATACTGACCACACACCACGCTTATCGGCTGCTACGGGAATACGTGAAATCTACTCCACCTACATTAATGTTATGAGAGATTTTCGTGTAATTTTCTTTTAAATTTTAGTCATAAATTAAGTACTTCCGTCATTGATAATTTTTAATTGACTAAAATTTAATTCCCCAAAAAAATAGTTTCACAGTTGCAACACAAGAAGCAATACACCGTTACACAGGGTTTACACTTGCGACATGTACACTATACACAGTGGCGTAGGCAGGGGGGGTAGGGGGGTCATAACCCCCCCCCCCCCCATAGACCCCTCGGTATATATATAAAAAGTATGAGGGGGTGGGTGGCAAATCGAAAGTTTGAGGGGGGGGGGGGTGCAAATCGAAAGTTTAAGGGGGGGGGGGTGCAAATCGAAAGTTTGTCCCCGGGTAAAAATTGGAACCCTCCCCCCCTTGAGACGATCCTGGCTACGCCACTGACTATACATATCTAGAAAAAAAAAACTCGCAACAAGTAAGTATACACGTTCGTGGTGAAAATGTTCTTAAATTTCTTACAACTCCAAAATCATACAACTGCTGCCTTTTAGTTTGTTCTTGGTTGGACAAAGGCTATGGAAACAAATCCAAAAAGAAAAGCAGGTTGAAATCGGAGTCAATAGCCTCAATGGCGCATAACCAGTTGACACGTATACTTAATTGTGTTGGGGGGGATCCCTTCTAACACTAAAATCAAGAACAGAGAAGAAGAAAAGAAGAAGAAGACAAGTTTTTTCTAGTCATATATAGTATACATGTAGCAAGTTCCAATTTTATGTAGTTAATATTTTGGTGTAAGCTCATTTGAAAGTAAACTGCACTTGTCAACGTATGTAGGCCTATATATAGAAGGTGAGAGGACAGTGCACATAGTTTATATATAGAAGGTGAGAGGACAGTGTACGTAGCCTTGGGTGGCAGTTCTTCTCACAGACAAACTAGTTGTTACGTTGTGGTTATCTACAACAACCACAAGCCAGCTTAGTAACACAGAAACCCTCTACGTATACATGTGCTGTGGTTCTTTCATGATTCTTTCAGTGCCCACGCTCTCCCCCAAAACATACTTTAAAAATCTATAATTGATATAGGAAATATATCCTTAACCATTATCCGCCCACACCCTCCCGGATATTTCAAGTCCCCCGTCCAATACACCTCTCTCCCCAAGGATAAAAATATTTTTAAATATAAACCCTGATAATTATTACCACTGCAGATGAATATAAGAATCTACATATTAATTCCATATTTGCAAGAGAAAAAAAACTTTGAGATATTCAATTTTTTTAATTGAAAAATCCTCCTTATTTGTACCTGTAAAAGAATGTACCTATTACTACTTGTCAATCAAGGCTAACTTACCTGGTTTATTGATGAAGAATGTATAAATATACATTTTTTATTGCAGATCTTTTTGCTCACCGTAATTTAAAATTCATGTTTTTAATTTTGTGAAAGAGAATTGTAACCACACCGCTTTAAAGAAACCTTTGGGTGACGTATGTACTTTTACCTCTAAGGGGGTAGGGGTGGGGGGGAGTGTTGTTCATAGATGAGTGGCGATGGGGAAAAAAAGTATTTTTTTATTGTCAAAAGGCGTTACGACTCAAAATACTTAGTAATTTATCCCATCTTAAACTCAGTTTGACAAATGCTTCACATATGAAGTTAATCGTTTTCAATTCTCTAATAGAGAAATATTTTGCAGGATCTAATCACAACTTAAAAGATATTAAATTAGAAGAAGCAGAGGCGTAGCGACCCCTCCCGGCGCCCGGGGACAAACTTTCATTTTGCACCCCCCTCGAACTTTTCATTTGCACCCCCCCCCCCCCCCTCAAACTTTCGATTTGCACCCCCCGTCGAATTTTTCATTTGCAACCCCCCTCAAACTTTCGATTTGGCGCCCCCCTTAAGGTCGGCGCCCGGGGACATATGTCCTCGCCCCCCCCCCCCCCCCGCCACGCCTCTGAGAAGAAGAGTATTATTCTGAATTTATTCATTTAAAATTTCCCAAAGTATTTAAAAAGAATACTTTTTAAAAATGATTTATGTTGTGTTTAAAACGAATAGTTCGTTTACTTCTTTTTAGAAAAGTTATTTGTTTAGTTTGGAACATTTTGTCTTTTATGTTTAGGACAAGTAAAATACCTATTGAAGATTATTTTTTAAGCTATCTTTGTGTCGTTTAAACATAGGCGCGTTACTTACAATATTAAAAAGAGGTACTCACTTGAGCAGTCCCGCAGCGGCAGGTGATGTAAGTCTCGCAGCAAAAGGAAAAGCAACTGACAAAGCCGGTTCGTGTGTACGTCTGCAAGTCGAAACTCCAAATGGTTTGAAGCAACAGCTGGCAGAGTGGGGCGTGGAGAGTCGCTGCCCCTTCGTCGATGATTATTGATTGATTTCTTGAAAAGGGTGGAGGGCTGGGGGAGAGGGGGGGGGGGGAGAGTGGAAACAGAATTTTAAGGGGTAAAAATTTGTCCTTTTCAGAAGTGACTCTTAAGACTAATGTGTAAGTGTTGTTGGTTCTTTTCCGTTTTAGGGTCATAAGGATCCATTGTTTTCATCAAACAACCAACGTATATTTTTCTCCCAGACACCAAGAGTAAGGCAGTATATCTATCTTAACACTCTAACCTAACTTAACCTATCCTAACTTAATCTAACCCAACCTAACCTAACCCAATCCAACTTAACCTAACCTAACCTAACCTAGCCTAACCTAACCAAACCTAACCTCACCTAACCTAACCAGAGTTCGCCCCCCCCCCCCCCGAAAATTTTACCGCCCCCCCCCCCGAACGAAATGAAATTTGTATCATTTATATAGAAAATATATACTTTTAACAGTGTCCGCCCCTCCTCCCCCCCCCCCCCGAAGAAAGTTTACCGCCCCCCCCCCCCCGAAGATTTCAAGTGCCCCCCCCCCCCGGAGAAAAAAGTCTGGAAGAAACACTGAACCTAACCTAACCTAACCTCGCTTAATCCAACCCAACCTCACCTAACCTAACCTCTCGTAAAAATTAGTCATCCCTCCCCCCTCACCAATGTCAATCTCATCAATCAACTTTTTTTATGTCATAGAAACATGATCTTGCTGTACTCTAAGGACAACTCGTGACTGCGTGTGTAATTAGGATTGCGCTTTTAAATAATTGCCACTGTATTGAATAGGCTACTACATAACTATCTCAAATGTGGTTTATTTTCGATAGCCCTTTGAAAATAACAACGGACTTTAAAAATATAAGACTTAATTGCTCTAATAATTGGTGGGCACCTAATTAAATAACACCTGCAAGCTTCATGCGCCATGTTTGTGTAGTTACCCTAATCTTTACTCTAACGCTACACATATTATCTCATATAAATCCTGTTAAAGTATGGATCAGCGGTTCTCTCTGGCACTTATTGTGTAGACTCCACCCCCCCCCCCCCCCGAGCACCTATCCTGATGATGTCTGCCTAAAGTTCTTGTAGTCAGGATCAGTGGCGTAGCGAGGTCGGGTGTCACCCGGTGCGGCACTTAATGGTGTCACCCCCCCCCCCCCCCCCAGAGGCGTTGCGACCCTTCCCGGGGACAAACTTTCAAGTTTTCGATTTGCACCCCCCCCCCCCTCAAACTTTCGATTTGCACCCCCCTCAAGTTTCCGATTTGCACCCCCCCCCCCTCAAACTTTCGATTTGCACACCCCCCCCCCCTCAATTTTTTCTCTATATATTTTGCTATTTTTTGCCTTGATGTCACCCCCCTAAATGGTGTCACCCGGTGCGGTCCGCACCCCCCCCCCCCCCGCCCCCCCCCTCGCTACGCCCCTGGTCAGGATGTTTCTACACGACCCATCACGATTCTATTATACTGCTTGGTATTGTTGACATGCGACAGAAATGCCTAACACGAAATGGAGTCGCATTAGTTCTACTGGCAATTTTAAAGAACATAATAATATTCCTTAAAATCTTAACCATATACCATCTATGCGTAAAATAAACAAAAACTATTGGTCTACCTTATAAAGATAAACCACTATTTATTATTTGCCTATGTTTTTCATCGTGTAACTGCGATTGGTGCAGAGGCGTAGCTAAGGAAGGGTGGGTGGGGCGGACGCCTTGGGCGCCGACCATAAGGGTGCGCCAAACGTGGTAGGATAAATAAATAAAAAGCTCATTATGAGCTGCATTACTGAATCTTACGCTGTCAATGTTTAGAAAATAGACTACTACTTGGCTTTGCAGATTGAGTTACTTCACATTTTTCAAAAATTCGGTGAAGCCAAAAAAAAATAATCGTTGCGACACAGTGACTGGTAAAAAGGCAATGGGACGCTTAACTATATTAGTGGGAGGGGGTGCCAAGTGGATAGTTCACCCGGGCGCCGGAACGGATTTACTACGCCTCTGGATTGGGGTGGCAAAGTATGGATGATTTCGATGAGTAAAATTTTGAGACCGGTACTAATGGGAGGTAACGCTTGAAATTGTAATTGTAAACGATTGCTTCCCTTCATGACAAATTTGATACTGAACTGGTTTTAGACTTTTAATGTTTCCAGTGTGAAAAAGACTGAAGGAAAAAACTCTGAATTAAATTAAAATACACAAGTCACAATTTAGCAATGCATAATAATTTCTTTATGATAATTTATTCAAGATTATTTTTCCACATATAAATTGTGCACTGACACATACAAAAGAATGTAATTGTGAACCAGATTATACCATGGAATAAAAAACTGAATAAAAAATATGTTATATAAATAAGTTTTATTTTTAATAGCTTTGGTGTTGCTAGCAGATCATGTGAAGTCAACCCATCACTGCTTTTCATAGATATAGATGGCGGCATACTACACAACATTGTCACAGAAAAATTACAATGTTTAAAAAACTGTTACGGTTAAGTTTTCATGACTGAACAACTAGCTTGTTAAACAGACTACCTTTTTTTATATTTAAATATTTTAATTCAAAAAAATAATTTAAAAAAACATAATTTAACAATTTGGCAATAATCAGACACAAAAAAAGAAGGTAGACAAATCTATCTAATCTGAGGAAATAGCTGGAGAGCTTAGGTCATCCCCTGACTTAACTGCCCCTTATGTCTAGCATGAGAGCTTAGGTCATCCCCTGACTGAACTGCCCTTTATGTCTAGCATGAGAGCTTAGGTCATCCCCTGATTTAACTGCCCCTTAAGTCTAGCATGAGAGCTTAGGTCATCCCCTGACTTAACTGTCCCTTATGTCTAGCATGAGAGCTTAGGTCATCCCCTGACTGAACTGCCCCTTATGTCTAGCATGAGAGCTTAGGTCATCCCCTGATTTAACTGCCCCTTATGTCTAGCATGAGAGCTTAGGTCATCCCCTGATTTAACTGCCCCTTATGTCTAGCATGAGAGCTTAGGTCATCCCCTGACTTAACTGCCCCTTATGTCTAGCATGAGAGCTTAGGTCATCCCCTGACTTAACTGCCCCTTATGTCTAGCATGAGAGCTTAGGTTATCCCTTGACTGAACTTCCCCTTATGTCCAAACCAGGTGGTGCGATGCACTGAGGGGGGAAGTAAAAAAGCTGGCAGATACATACAGCAGCTGGTAACATGTCTGAGAGAAATGCTTGACTTCTAAACCTATTCAGCTTGGCTAATGAATGAAAGCTGGTAAAGACACTATGAGAGTCATGAGAGAGAAAAAGAAAGAGAGAGGGAGAGAGAGAGACCTGCTATAGAAAATTATAGGCTGAAATTGTTATGTGCATGCTGGTCAACACAAATGTTGTACTTGTATTCAAGATGGTAGAGGGTTCAGAACCACGTGGAGTAATGCTCTCTGTATGGGGGAAAGAAAAAGTCTTATGTCAATAATGGCACGTTGAGATGGCAGCATGGCTGTGAGAAATGTTGCATGCAACATCCTGTTGCAGTCTGGAGAACTAAGTCTTCACCACACCTTCGTTCATCATTCTAAAAAGTTTATTTCACTAAATCATCTATTGAGAAGTTACAATTTTTTTGTTTCATTAAATGTAATATCATCTATTAAGAAGTTATAATTTTTTGTTTCATTAATGGTAATATCATCTATTGAGAAGTTACAATTTCTTGTTTTATAAAATGTAACATTATCTATTGAGAAGTTACAATTTCTTGTTTTATAAAATATACCGTCTATTGAGAAGTTGCAATTTTTTTAGAAGTTACTATAGACTATATACAACAGGGCAGTCAATAGCCATAAAATAAAAAAAAATAAAAATACATCTAAAAATAAAAATTGCATAATGTAATAAAAAGAGTTGACAAAAACCAAAAAACAACAGGTAAGTAATTGCAAAAATGTAATAAATGTACAAATAAGAAGCAATAGAGTCAATAAATATGTGACTTTGAATGAGTAATCTCAATCATGAAAACTAGTTAAAAATTGGGACAAAATTTTAAAACATTTTTTTTTTAAATTCAACAATAAATATTTAAATGGAGTAATTTGTGCCAAATATTGCTACTTACAGTAGTATATCATTCTAACACTACTTCCAAAATGCAAATTAAGAATAATAATCTCACTGTGTATAATTATTTTTAACGACAAAATTACAATGTAAAAAGTGTGCTTAAATTATATACCAATACTGTTTTAACTAGTACAATGTTAAATATCTGATTAGTTAATACTTCATGTGACTTTGAAGTTTTACATTACAATATACCACAAAATGCTACAAAAATACCAAAAACACTTTTCAAACTATTTTGTAATTAAAATCATCACTTGTAAAATTATGTTAATAAGAATTTAACATACTTTGTTCACCCCAGCCCTATTCTACCCCCTCTTCACACATGATTCCAATCATCCACTAAGTCAAATAATTTTGTATTGGTAAAACTATTCCTTATTATTTATTTATTTCAGTTTCCCGATAATTAGAATGTGAATTAGCAGGCCCATCAACTTAAGAAACTAATCATGCACATTAAAAAGAAATTTAACCATGCCAAGAATTTTATACTCAGCTTGTTTAACTGTATTTGATAAGATGCAAAAATCTCTTGGTAGCCCGCTTTATAAAAAGTTAATAAGTTAATTTAATTAAAATTAACAGAAACGACAAAAAAATATATCATAAAATTATTTTATGCTAAAGCTAAAAGAAATAAAGCATTATAATACAGTTGTGTTTTCAATGGTAAACTTAGTCTTTGGTTTTATTGGCTAAGTTTGGCTTTAAAGGAAATTCATTTCTGGTGCATTAAAAAATAGGGGTTAATTATTCCATTTGTATTATGAAATATATATATAGTAAGATAAATATGTATGTATAGCTATGTGTATATATGTATTTTAAAAAAGCATAATTTATTAAACAATCAAGGAGAAAATTTTAAAAGTTTTCTTCAAGGCTAAATGTAAAAAATATACTTTACTGAACAAGCTGATAATACTACTTCAAGCTAATTTACAAATCTTTGAAGAATTAATTTTTTTTTTAGCTGGATATGAAGTAATATATAATTTATAATTAACTATTTTAATATCACAGGAAACATTTTTAGGATAAGCCAATTTCATTCACATATGTTTACATCACTATTATCTGCTACAAACAAAATCCTTTTCAGTGGTTACATTAAAAAAGGTGATTTGATTAACAAAAAATGCTACATAAAACTTTTGTGCAATAGAATTACAACCATTTTCTTTAATAAAAACTGAGCTACCTTTGCAAAATGCTTATCGATGTGATCTAAAAAAATTTTTTAACAATATTATCTTAGAAGTATAAAAAAAAATGCCTAAAATAAAGAATCAACATATTACAATTAATAAAAATAATATTTGAGTAAATTTTTAAAAATGTATATAAAATAAGAAATTCAACAAGAGCATTCTTTGGTCCATGTGTAGAAATATTAACTTAACATTTTCTCAATTTTTAATAAGTTTTGATTTTTTTTTTTTAAACGCAACTAATTAAAATACTGATTGCTACATTAGGTGACCTGTTTATGCTCAAAAAGAAAATGAGGAACCAATTACATACATGTAATATGTTTACAGTTTAAATATTTAAAAAATCTTAACTTTTATTTTTGATATGATTAGCAAGCAAGATGTATGTACAACCTTTACTTTGTTGACATAAAACCTAAACCAAACCTCAGTATAACAAAAAGTAAACTGAGTGCTATGTGTCACAAAGTAAAGACAGAAAGTCATGTTTAAGATCCATTCAGGTAGAAGAGTTACGAACTGGACATGACACACCCTGTTTAAACTTGCCAACTATTGTAATGAAATCTGCACTAAAATGGAACTATCATGTAAATAAATGCTATACAAAAAATAAACCGGCTATGAGAACCAATTCACAGGGGTCAGTCATGGAACAAACAAGGCTTGGGACAGAGGGATGAGGAGGTCTAAGATTAGTTGCCCATTTCCCATCAGGAATTATGGGAGGTAGCTCAGGTCATCAATATTTCAACTTAATAAACATCTTAGATCTATATAATAATTGGTTAAGTCTGTGTGTAATTCAAGGGTAAAGAGGGATAACCAAAGAAATAATAATAACAGAACATATCATTATCAGCAAAGGGGAATGGGAATACAAAATTGAAGTATTTTTTTAGCAAATTTAAACATTTGTGTTTTATAAACCTGGCTTATGACACAGACATAGCTGCTTAAAAAAATTAAAAAAATATTCAAAACTATTCAAATTCAATAAATATTTGCTTGTACTTTTAGGTAATCAAAAATTAAAAACAAAACTACATTTTAATTACTTAAATATGATAATTGTAACTGTAAGAAGTCTTGCACACTTCCATTAAATAGATGTATGTTACCATGTAAGTTGGAATGATAAAATAATAAACACGTCATGATATAATAAAAAACTTTAGAAAAATGTGTATAAAATCTGTTCATATAAAAAAAACAATATATTGTATTGTAAAACTATTATATTAAAATATGAGTAATATGAACATAAAAGAAATTATGCTTTTCCTTATGATTTTATTTAAAAACCATATTAGCATTATTGTTAAGGCAGTACAACAGTTTATATATTTTTTTAAACATTTACCTACATTAACATTATCCATTGCAATCATAAATTCAAAAAGTGTTGGTTTCTAAAAGTTAAAAAATATACCATTACATTTGACATAAATGTTATAATATTATATAAAAGTATACCAGACCTTTTATGTTGTAAGCTGCCTCTAAAGGGTAGACACTAAAGCTCAAAACAAAACATTGCTTTGTATATTTGATAGTTGTCACTTTAAAAATCATCAAAAAAAGCGTTATGTCATTTATGCATAACCCCTGACATAAATTAAACATATATATTATATAAAAGTATATCAGACCTTGTATGTTGTAAGCTGCCTCTAAAGTGTAGACACTAAAGCCCAAAACAAAACATTGCTTTGTAAATTTGATAGTTGTCACTTTAAAAAGTAATAGATGTAATTGAGGTTAATGATTGTTTTCTGACAGGATTTCTATAATTTAAAAAAATCATGATCACTGTGAATACTACACCCTCCTCTAACCCCATTATCAAAACAATTCTTTCAGATCCACTTGTCAGTTGTTATAATTGAGTCTGGTATCCCTGACCCTAAGTTTATCGTCATTTTTAATGTGAAGATCCTGCAAGGTTCCATTGTTACGCAGTACGTAAGCTTCACCCTGGTGGTAGAGTGAAATGTGCTCCACAGGAATGGAAAATATATTTGACACATCTTCCTTCAATTTTACTACCTGAATTTTTAAAAAATAAATTTGACATTAATAATACTTAGTCAAACCACATGCAATTTATTTTTAAGCAAACAAAAGAACATTTGAGAAATAAAAATCTTTTTATGACAATTTATTCAAATTAGAGATAAACAAGAAATTATTGACCAATCCACTTTCTATTTTTAAATTTTACTTCAGTTATGTACCTATCAGAGCTGCATGGACTCAGGGAAATCCTACAGACTCAAGCCATTTTCTTTTTTATGACCTGCATATTATTTTCTTCCTAAACAAAAAAGCAGTTTAGAAAATACTGACATACTTGGATAATTACCAATGAAAAGTTTATGGTAATGACTTACCAAGAGCTTAGGAGAAATCAAAATTGTTCTTCCTATCTCCACAGAATTCGGAAGCTCGCGAATTAACTCCAACTGTATGAATGGGGCAGCCTCTTCTAAACAAATAGAAGTTTAATCTTTTATTAAATAATATAATGTTTAGGGCACTGATTTAAAAGGTATTTAAAATCAGAAGTGAAGAAATGTTCAGCTTATAATAAATTTAATGCAAGTAACTAAAAGCTAAGAAAAGGAGGATGTTCAGTCATTTTATTAAAAAGAACAATATGGGCAAAATATACCAACTTGGATCCAGATTAGGCATAAATGTTATTTCTGAGCAAAAAACAAGGCTAACGAGACTGTTCCAAACATCAATTCATAAAATTTAGATACCTCAGAATAATGGAGAAATAAGAATTAAATGTGAAACACACAAAATTATTATTTTAATCAACTAATTCACATACCTTCATCATCGCACTGTGCAGTTCCTGAATGAAAAATAAAGAATAATAATGCAGTCATTTTCCAGGTGAATATAATTTAAAGGTAATGCTTTGTTATATTTTTGTCATGACTAATAAAGCCTTGTTAAACAAGTAACAGTGTTAGTTGTAACATGATACATGAGATTTAGCTGATTCTAATGTTCTTTGTATAGCCAGGCACGAGTCAGACACTGGCCCCTGCCCACCCCACTCAGGGAAAAATTATATGGGGCACCTGCCAAACTGGAGACCACAGTCCGGTTTGTTCACGAAGTTGGACTTGTTGTCTGAATCCTCCAACATATTCTCAATTAAGAACGAAGAAGAAGAAGAAGAAGCTGATTCTACAATAGTTTTTAAAAAACCAAGTAAAATACTTTTTCACATTTCAGACAAGATGAAAAATGGGGTAAATGAAAAAAGGATAAATTTTTTTCCGAGTTACCTAAAAAGGAGACAGTGTAGTCAGATGGTAGGGCATATTACAATTAACTGAAAAGTTGACTGTTCCAAACATCAATTTATAAAATTATGATACCTCAGAATAATTGGAAAATGAGTATTAAATGCGACAGACTCAACATTATTTCAATCAACTAATTCACATACCTTCATTATCGCTTTGTGCATTTCCTGAATGAAAAAAAAAGAATAATAATGCAGTCATTTTCCAGGTGAATATAATTTAAAGGTTATGCTTTGTTATATTTTTTTTCATGACTAATAATGCATTTTTAAACAAGTAGCAGCGTCAGTTAAAATTTAATGCTTGAGTTTTAGATAATTTTATAATAGTTTTAAAAAAAGAGAACAGTCACATTTCACATTTCAGACCAGATGAAAAATCGGGCACATGAAGTAGGGATAGTCTTTTTCTTTTAAGTACCTAAAATGTGGGATAGCATGGTTGGATGGTAGGGCATACCAATTCTAACTTGAAAGTCTTGAGTTTGAATCTCAGGTTTGTGTCAGTAGAATGTGACTGAGTCAATCCAGCTCTAATGGGTACCTGACTCACATTAGGAAAATTAAAGGCAGCTGGCAGCTGCTGGGAATAATGTTGAGCACACCATCCCTTCTAATGCCAAGGTCAGAGAAACAGGTGAACTCTACTTCACTTGCCCCATGGACCGTCAGGTTTGAAATTGAAAGTGTACTTTATTTTTTAACAATCAATACTTATTTTTCCCTGACTCATCATATAGGCTACCCATTAGAGGTGGGTGAAATTTGGGACATCCAACACACTCAAGCCTATCAAAACAACTTCAAAGTTTCTGAATAGTTGTTATCATGCTTACTACACAATGCTTAATAACAGTAACATGCAAACAGAAGTTCATTATCTTTAACTGAGACTTTTTTTTTATACATCTATGTTTATAAATAAGAGTGTTGTTATAAAATTTTATTTATTGAAAAATACAAACCATTGCTTTTCTGGAAACATTTGGAACATGCATGGCCCATAATGATCATTATTGTTTCCAGGCCTATCATGTAAGATAAGGTAAAGATATCATCATTAGACATCCATTATAGACTACTGGCAGTACTAGCTACTTAGTTGACTGCTACAAAAGTTTTTACTTTAAAATAGTTTTAACCATCAAGCCAACTTGATAAAAAAAAGACTGATACCATCTTTACACATGCATATAATCATATAAGGATAGATGTTTATAATGCCTTAGGCTTAATTTAACATTGAATTCTTCATACCACTCCTGCACCCACCATAACTTCTAATTCTAATCAAAGAGGAATCAGTACCACTGCTCGCACCCCTCAAAATTTCTCACGCCTGTAAAACTATTAGTATTATGCTGTTTAAAATCAATATCTGGCCTATTTAGCCATTGATTTTGGTTTATTATTCAGTCATCTATAATAATTCACACAAATATATCACAATATACTTCTATTAAAGTTTAAAGCCTTAACAATGAGCCAGAGGCAACTTTTATACACATTAATGACTACTCTACAAGACTACTAACAACACTAACTAGTTACTAGTACTACTAGTAACTTACTACTATAGACTCTATAGCAGTGGTTCCCAAACTTTTTCGAGTGGCGACCCCCTTTTACAAAAAGTAAGTGACCTGCGACCCCCATGGAATTACAAAGTCGAAATTAATATGGAAATTTATAAGGACTAAAGTAAGATTTTCCTGTAGACTTTCAAAATGAATTATTCTTGATAACTGTTTTAACACGATGAGTAAAATTTCATGCTATTAACTAGCCTCAACATTCGAGGTTGAGTTTTTGTTAACGCCAATCTCATGTCATTCTCAACATTTAATTTTTTTCTTTTTTTTAATTGGTTGGAAAAGTGTTGAAAATCTATTCTGGCAAAGATATGTAGACACAAAAGGAACTCGAAAGGCAATCAATTTTACATTTGGTAATAAATGGTGCATACTACACCAAAAATGTGAGCAGTTTTTCATGTGACGTGGAGTCATTCCGCAAATTTAAGAATTCATCTTGTAATTCATCGGAAATGTTGGAAACATCAGAGGGATGCAGAGAATGGGTTACGTGTCAATGCAGTTTCTTCTTCTTTCAGCTGAGGAAAATAACACTGCAATTCATTTTCTAGAGATTTAAGATGCCCAGAAATCTCCCGTTTCAATATTTTATTCATCTCATAATCAGATTCAGCAACCACACTGCAATAATGGCAATATTTCCAAGATTTATTTTTCTTCGCCAATATAAATGCCCCGAGATTATCATGAAATGAGATAATATTAGTTGATTTTGTTTGTTGATGTTCGAATATATATGCTAGGTATGATACTCTCTGCAACCACACCATGTCATTAAAGTATATCAAAAGGCCTTTTTTCTCTTGCACTTCCAAGAACAACTTGATTTCATCTTTCAATTCAATACACTATTCTCAATATTTCCTTTCGACAACCGGCGTACTGTAGTGTAGAAAAGCAGAACCTTGTGATCCTATTTGTTTCTTTGCACAGTTCTTTAAACAGACAAGTGTTTAGGGCTCTAGATTTAATATAATTTACAACTTTAATTAGCAATGGAGTCGGAAGAGTCTTCCTGGCGAGGGCATACAGGTGAATTATGCAGTGGATTCCCCTTGGTTAGGGAGCTAAATCTTTTATTGTTTTCTAAAAGCCTGATTTTGACCCAAACATAGATGATGTTCCATCCGTACAAACCCCACAGCAGCTTTCCCATTTTAATCATCCAGTTTCAAAAAACATATTTATTTTCTCCATAATATCTCCACAAAATAGCAACTCATCTGAATGAATATATTATATTTCACAAAGACAAGCAACTGAGAATACGAACTCATGTCTTAAGATTCATCAACTTGAAAAGCAAACAATGGTGGAAGTTTGATTTAATTCAAAATTTGTTCTTTAACATCTACAGACATTTCTACTATAAACCGCTGAATTGTATTATTATTATTTTTTGCATCTTTACTGCACTGGAATCCCCAAGAATTAATTTCAGCATCTTCAACAGGCAGGGTTTGATAAGATTTTCTCCTATTGTGATGTTTTTGTTTGGTAATTTGTACTAATTTCTAATGTGATTTCATATGATACTTGTACTAATGCTGTATTTCCTTTAAGAAAACGTCTGTTTGATTTAAGTCTCTGAAGTTTGCAACTAGCTTCATGCAGACGAAAGAACGTTAAATGACAGTTAAATGTCAAATACGTTTCGTTAAAGTTTTGAAGGTTTTATATTTTATTTTATAGACTTATGACTAACACCGCGTTTACACTTACGACATGTTATGTGTATATGGAACATATTTTGAGTCGCAGGGCACAAAACCACGCCCCTTTTTTGCGTGCCAGTTTTTGTCTTCCCTCGCCGAGCGAAAACCTAGGACATTTTTCTGAATTTTCAGACGAGTGCGCATGCGTCTATGCATAGTAAGCGCATCCTCTCAGCTGATTGCCAAAATATAACTTACATACTGATCTAGAGCGTTTGAGCACACACTTTAAAAATGTATAGCTTCTATAGGCCCTACTAAAAAATACATTTTTAATAATTACTTATTATTTCTTTAATTAAATCCCAAACACGTTTTAGTTAAACCAGTCTAGTTTGTAATTGAAATAATAATAAAATATATTATAAAAATATATTAACCAAACTTATTGTTAAAAGTTATTCTTCAATTTTCCTTGACCCATTGTTTGAAGTGTATCCACATATTTTCAATGTCTGACTGATAGAGGAATAAATCTATAGGCCTATCAGAAGTGCTTGTGGGATCACACCAGTGCTGACTATAAAAACAGGCAGATAACAAGTGATAGACTAATTAATTAGGTTTAAAATAGAGTCTTGGTAGTGAGTACAGTTATAACTCCATCTCAATATTTGTAATGGACTTGGCAAATGCAAATTTATCGAAGAAATCAGGCCCTTCACAGCAGCCAAATGTTTAGCCCTGTTCATTCAAATCATACAAGCTGTTTTTGAAGGATATAAACAAGCAAAGAAGTGGCGTACTTTGGGGTCGTCCATAAATGACGTCACACTCGTAGGAGGGAGGGGGGTCTGTAATTTTGTGACGGTGTGTGATGAGGGGGAGGGGGGTGTCAGATGGTGTGATGTCACACTTTTGCATTATCAAAAAGCAATGTTAGAAAACGAATTTTAGACGTTATTTTGCGTTTTAGAAAACTGTTTTAATAAATTGTAATAGGAATTGATTAAAATACTCTATTTTAATAGATTTCAAACAAGATTTTGGAAAAATGTCAATGTTTAAAAAAAATTCAACTGCAATTTTGAGTGGGGTTGTAGGCTGAGTTGTGACGTCATTTTAGGGGGGGGGAGGTGGGTCTGGCTTTTTGTGACGACATTTGACGGAGGGGAGGGGGGGGAGGTAAAAATCGTCAACAAAAAAAGCGTGACGTCATTTATGGATGACCCCTTTCTAAAGCAATATGACTTTTTAAACTTTTTAATTTGGAAATTATGAGAAGGTACATCAGAAAGCTACAAAGTTACAAAGTATCGTAAAGTGACAGCTAGCTGGGGAAATGACGACAATGGGGGTTGGGAGGGAGGGTAGGTGCTGTGGAATGGGAGCAAGGTAGTAGTAGGTTGGTAATGTCTTAGACCCGTGCTATTATACAGAACTAACATTATTTCTAGCTCAGTTGCTGACACTCCAATAAAATTTCTTAAATGTTCCTGTTCTCTAATTTTTAGATAATTTATTGTTGTATTGTAGGTACAATGACTACACCCTTTTCCTATAAATAATAAATCTGCGTGACCACTATATCTAGGTTGTTTTATTTGTTTTTTTACTTTGATTACTCTTTCGTTTAATTATCTAGGCTTATATAGCAGACGCTCTCGGTCAAAGGTCATGTTTATTTTCAAAAATGTTCTATAACATGTTCTGTGTGAATGCTAAAGTATACAATACATGTTCTGTGAACAAAATGTTTCCAGAAAAAAATAACTTTTGGCGGGTTTTGTGTTCTGGCGATGTATAGTAGTATAGATCTACATGTCGTAAGTGTAAACGCGGTATAAGAACAACTTTGCACAGTATGCATTATTAATATTTTCCTCTATTTCATTTCCGAATTTAAGATAATAGGCCTAAAGATATTCTATTCTTCTAAATTATTGTGTTTTTCATTGCTTGCTTGCTAGTTGCTAGAGACTCAGTTAGACTAGTTAGAGTTAGACTAGTTAGACTGTTAGAGTAAGTCACTGAGTAAGCTGCTAGCTGCTCGTGCTAGGGTTAAGTAAAACAAAAAGTTACTAGATCTAGATCTAGTTAGTACTGTAGTAAGTAGTTACTTAGTTACTGTTAGGTACACGGTACACTATTAGTAAGATAGTATAGTAGTTAGTTTAAGTTTAGTTTAGTTACAGTGAGTTAGTCAACCTCTTCGCGATCCCCCAGAAAGCCCATCCTTCATCTAGATCTAGATTCTAGTCACAGAATAGATGTAATGTAGACTTAAAATCAAATGTAATCTATTAGACTTAGATTTTAGATCTAGACATAGAATTCTATGTAGTATGTAGTCTGTAGAGTCGTAAACCTCTTGACTTACACTTATTTACTTGAAAGTACTTTCACTTTCACTATGCTCTTTAGTAGTAATACAAGCAATAGCAGTTTAAAATGACAGTAATATATTTCGATTAATAAATAGGCCTACTCAATAATAATTTGTATTAATTTTTTTTTAAATGTTATACTTTCAACGCACCCCCACCCCTTCCATAGTTTACCATAGATTATGACCTATTGTCATTGAGTAGGCCTCCACCATTAATTGGTGATTGAAGTAATAGTTGGCCTAACTACTAGATCTAGATTTAGGCCAATATTTTTTCACATTTTTTTTCAAAGTGACTGAAGCAAAAAGAGTGTTGTTTGTGCGTAGCCTTATGCCTTATATTATATAAATAGAAAAAAATATTTTCACAACATGTTTACCTCTCCTTAATTTTTTTTTTAAATTCATAATCCATTTTGAAATTTTTAAAAATATTTCAACTTGCTAATTAGTCTATTAGCTTTTAAACTTAAAGGGCGGAGAAGAACCAAATCTTTTGACCCCTCTTTTGTGGCACACTAATGACCTTTGTAACTGTTCATTGAGAAAATCTTTCTCACATTCTTCAAGGACAGAGCTAGTTGGTAGTGCTTATTTACGGCATAGGTACACATTTTCAATGTTTAAAGACACCTATTGTGACAATGAGCTTTAAACAGAATTATTAGGTAAAAGATAGCAGGGAAGGCTAAGGGAGACATTGAGGCGCACTGTGGGGGGGGGGGGGGGGGAGAGCAGAGGCAGGACTATCACCGGATACCAGGAAAATTGCCAATGATGACAAAATCGGAAGAAACTTTCTGTGGCAACCCCATGTGTCTTGGGCACAAAAAGGAAAAGATGATGATGAAAATTGACAACTTATGATCCTAGTTGTATAAAATAAATCAAAAGACAGTTTTAGCATTAATTTATTTGTTGTAAAATTGTTTTAACAAGTAAATTGAAATGAAGATATGGTACAATATTTAATAATCTCTAATGCCAAAACATCAGTTCCAGTCTCAACAAAGTTGGGATGACAATGAGAAACATTTTAAAAGTTTTTAACAACATTCAATAAAAATCAATTTTAATGTTAACTTATTTTAAGGCAAATTTATAATTTGTATCTCAATGAAAATACAATAATTGTATCATGTTAGAAGTTGTATCATTTTTCAAATTGGAAGAGCAGTCTAATTACAAAGCAAATAGACATTACAATTACTGTTAAATAGATTAAAAGTCACCATGTATGACTAATACTAAAACACAACTGCCTATGACAACTTCAGTTGTTTATTTTTTAATCAAGTTATTCTAACCCATGAGAAAAATCAATGAGAAGCTGAATAAGCAGTGTAAATATGTTGGTGTAAGGTGCTATATTTTTTAACAATTATCACAATAAAAAGAATAACTAGTTTTCAGCCCTTGAAACAGAAAATCATCAAGTTAAAACTTTTTTATTTTCCAGTGATTAGATTAATCTCATTAGAACAATTAAAAAAGTTTCTACAATCAGCCGGTAAATGTAAAGCTGGTATTCTGACATATATCATTTCATGTATATGAACAAATTCAAACACTTACTCATTACCTTCTGAATTTAATATACAATTAATAGCATCACTTCAATATATGACTTCTCAAGTCAACTTGAAAAAAAAATAAGTTCATAGAGTTAAAGTAAAACAGCAAAAAATGGTATCAGATGAAAACAAAACACAGCAGTAGATGAAACAAACAAAAAAACTGGTTCAAAATAAGATCTTTCATAATAAAACAGTAAACAAATTTAACAATGGAGACAACATACATGCAAGGTGATCATAATCAAAATAAATTTTATGTTTTGTTCAACAGCCAATATGATTTTTTCAAATGGCTAGTACACGGATAATATATATGATAAAGCCTAATTTCAATATTGACATTTGATTTAACAAAGCTTTTTTGTTTTCATTTTTAAGACCTTTTTGGCTATTACTAAGGTCATTACAGCACATTTTAGTTGGACAAAACTTGTTTGAAACATAAGGTTTATAATCCTCAATACAGAAAAGTAGTATCAGGCAAAGCAGTTTCAGCCATCAACTAGTGTCCAAAGCACAACCATAGCAAGGCGTATCATCAATGGGACTGGCAGTTACATGGTATATAAGTTGAGCATTATTGATAATGTTGTATACTGTTTTAAGTGGCAGAGATACAATGGTCATTCACTGAAGGTGTAGATATGCAAAATTTTATAATTTAAAGCACAAAGAAACATTTAAATATTTTAATTACTTGAAAATGTACTTGGAATGACAAAACAACAATTTTAAAAGCAGATCTTTAAATACCCTCTTAGCTGTTATTAACACAAAAAATGCTTTGATGGGCATTAAGTATGAACTAATTCAAACACTACTACAAAGTTTATTAGGGGTTATCCATAAATGATAGCCTGCTCTAAGGGGTGGTTCTGACTGTGATATGCTATATGAAATTAATTAGATGTAGTATTATTTTAAGTGTTTTGGAATTTATAGTAAATTTGGAGAGGGGAGGAGTTTGTTTTTTGTGATGTGTCAATATGTAAGTGTGGTGGGTGGTGTAATACAAAAAAATTAGCTAATATTGAGCAACATCATTTATGAATGACCCCTTATAACAAAAAAAAAAGGATTTTAACAAATACACAAATTGAACAAAATCAAGAATTAGTAAAGCTATTAGAAATTATTTAAATCTCTTGTTAAGCATTTTTTGACAACTAAGTTTTTAATCTTGCCATACACTTAAAACAGCAGCTAGTAATTAATCTTAAAACTAAAAAGTCTAATACATTTTATTTCTTTTAATAAATACAACATATTCAAGAAAACATCACACTATTATTTTTTAAAATAATTATCTTGATCCCTTAATATTTAAAAAAAATCAGTCTATCACAATCATCAACTAATCTTTTTCCTCTCCTTCCCATACACAGAGTCTAGCCCAAGACCAACAAACACAAGAGCTGTGCCACTCCACTGTTGTATTGACATTGGGTTTTGGAATATTATGACGGAGGCTAAAATAGTGAAGAACTTTCTTGTGGTTGTAATAATGGAGCAAGTTAATGGTCCAAATGAGGTCACAGTTATAAAAATAAACATCTGGAAAAAAAATTGTGTACAAGCCAATTTATTAGAATGTATAATATAAACATATAAATGACAAAATCTTAGAACTTTAAAAAATCTATAAATTGATATACTCGATTTTTTTTTAAACGAAACAAAAAATTGTTTACCTGGCCTAATGCAGATGCTAAACTGAAAGTGATCATGTTCATCAGCACAAATGGATAACGGCTAGCAAAGTTTATAAACTCAAACAGCTCCCCAGTAGCCACCAAACCTTTGGAAAAAAATACATGATATATAACCTCTTTACCTATTTTAATATCTAAGTGCAGTTAATAATGGAACGACACTTTACAACTAATTAAGTGTTTTGGGTGAGGTTAAGATTAATTTATAAAGACTATTTTGTTAAATAATTTACCGATAGCAAGCCACAAGACTGAGAAGACATTAATGAATAGCATCATGTTGTTGGCGCCTGTTTTGTGAAATGATTTCATTCTGTCCTGAGAGGCTCCAGTCAGACCATCAAGAGTGAGAGAAACAAGCTGCAAATGTAAAAAGTGTATTTCATCAGCTATCTAGAGAGAGGTAACTGTGTATATTGCAAGGCAGGTAACTCACAGCTGATTAACACTAATGAGACTTCTAGAAACATAAAGACTTAAGATTAAACTTTTTAAAATATTCAACATTGCTTTGAAGTTTTAACCCAAACCCTGAAAAATCCTAATTCTATAGACTTTTCATGTATATTAGTATATATGGTGTTAGTTATTAACCCAGTCTGATCATATATTTCCTTAAAAGAATCAGCAGCCTTATTTCATTTTGCTATCTATTTCAAGGAACACTTACCAACAAAATCTCTCCTGTACCAAGTATTGAAGCAGTTTCAGATTTCTTTGAAGACTTGTTATCTTTGTACATGAACATGGCAACTCCCAAAACAATCAGCAGAACACACAGGTATTTGGCCAGTGGATATCTTTTCCTGGCAAACACAACACCTAGAATCATCACTGGAATGGGTTTGATTGACTTGCCAAGAACCTGAGAAACAAATTTAATCATTTTTATTACTATCATGCAATGGAATTTTTTTTTATTTGGCGGCTGGATTGGATTACCGAAAAGCAGAAAATGTGCAACCTAAAAGTATGCAAGGTAACACTTTTTTTAATCAATAGTTTAAAGACATTAGCAAAGAATGACCACATTAAATAGTATAAAGAATTTGTATTTGTTTATTTATTTGTATCTGACCATTTTCTTGGGAACACAAGGTAAAAATTTAACAAACTGCACCCCTTTACTATAGCAAATTTAAGCGTTTGGTTATCTTGTTCAGGTAATCTAAATTATTCTTATTAAATTAAAAAGTGTTATGCCAGAGACAGTATTGGTAGTAAAAACATTTTAATGTACAGCTGTGTTACCTGAGTTGGGTATGACACATGCTGCAGGGCATGGTTGCTAGCCAGCATTGCAAACAGGTATGTTAATGAGCACACTGCGTAAAGTGACTTGGGTGTGGTGTCCTTCTCTTTTGAGGAGAAGAAAATCATGGCTGAAAAGAAAAAAGTTAATACTTAAAGGTATTTCAAACTTAGTTAATGCAAACAAAAAGAAAACTACCCAGTACTCTAAAGCTAACCCCTCACCAACCGATTCCCACTTAATATGATTTCAATGTTTACATGGAAAATTGGAATGTAATGATACTAGCTCTGACCCCAAGTAAATTTCTGCCTTCAAAATATCTTACAAAATTATGACAGATAATTCAATCAAGTTTTACAACTAAAACAACCAAAAAATACTACTTAGTTTTAATACAAACTAATATTTTGTTTACTTGCCTATCTTTGCATAAATAGCATTGATGACACATTGCACAAAAACCAATGACAAGGTGAAATGGAACTTCTCTTGATTCTCTCCTTCTCCATATTTACCTTTTGTTCTGTGAAAGTGCAAATTAAAGTAAAGCCAGTTATTCTGAGATAGTTTACAAAATCATTGCAAATATAATCCTCTACTTTAATAAACCAACTTGATGTTTCCTGATGCAAAAGCATTGCAAGTTTAACTCTATTTCCTAAACCAACTAGAAGCTTTCAGTATTTAGAAAACAGGACTTTAGGTAAAAAAAAAAGTTTCATCTATGTACATTTTTAAAACTATTTTTTAACTAATTACATCAAATTTTACCTGTAAGAACAAATATATTTACAAAATTATATGTGCACAGTCACAGAGAAATAATGTACAAATTTGACATTATTTTCAATGTGAGTTTTTACTTTTTCAATATTAATGGATATTTTTTTCTTATTCACGTAAGAAGATTAAGTTATTATATAAAAAAATTCAAGGATTAACAGCTCAACAGAAAAATGTCTCATCTGACATAAATTTAAATCCCTGTGTCTAGTGAAACATTTTTTTTTTCAAACTGGTCAAACTGGAAATAGGCTATTTTTAGCTATGGCCAGATACAGTAATTAACAAAGACAGGTTTTCAAACATGACCGCCAATAGGTGAGCTCTAGACAAATGTAAAACTGATTTCTTCATGTAGTTTTATAATTGTAAGCTGCAGAGCAAAACGTGTTCAACAAAATACAGCATTTCCATTAGTTTTGTAAAAAAAAACTAAAACAAACATTATTTGAATAAATCAATTATTTTTTTAGATTGGATATGGTAACATTTGGTTAGTAAATAATCTTGAATAAGCTTTAACCTAATATAATTTAATCTAAGTTAATGCCACTGTTCTGTATTCTCTCAGCTAAGCTGTATTGACCAGCCAAAACAATAAATGAAAGTGGGCAACTGCTTTCATTAGAATTGTGAGTTCAAGATGGTAGACAAAAATATCAACTAGGTAAAGCAATATATTAGCAGAGAGTGAAATCTAGACTTCATCAACTCTAAGTAAGTACTTTCAATTGCAAAAAATGTTATAGAAGAACAATCTAAGCAAAGGCTATTTATATATAATAGGCCTATAAATAGGGAGGAGTGTGAATGAATGAAGTTGCAACTGTTGTTGCTGTGGGTATGAATTTTTAACTTTTCTACTCAAAGGTTAAATAAAGGTGACTGTTGAGAATTGTGAAAAAAGGGGGCAGGCATGGTCGGGCTGGTAAAACTCATGGCTGCTTAACCGACCAAAAATTCCCCCAAGTTAGCACCAGCAAAAAACTAAGAAAACACCCCCTAAGCTGTAAAGAGATGGGAAATACAAGAGCACAACACTTGCTAAAGCCGTGCATTTCTGAACTAGTGTCTGGAAAGTCAACAATAAAAATGACTGATTTACAGTAGGCCTAAATATTTAATGTTATGTTTTTGTTTGAAAATCATATTTTAGGCAAAAAGTTTTGTTCTTTGAACACTGTGATGTTGATGAGAAGTTTATTTTATGCATCAGTAAAATAATCTATGTTTTAAATTGAACAATCATATTTTATTTTTCCTATCAAGTAAGAATGATTCAGTGATAATATTGATATTATTATAATTAAAGCTGGTGGAGTATGGTACCTCCAAAAAAGTTAAGAACTAGATTAGAGATGTAGATCTGACCTTAGATATCTTTATTATCCAGTTTAGTAGTTAGGTCTAGTAGTTGGTAACTGTTAGTTGTTTCACTTTGCAGCTAGATCTCAGATCTAGACTAGATAGCCTACTAAATTCTCTTTTAGTTTCGCTAACTTTTAGATTTTAGATCTAGACTAGATCTAGATATATTTTATCTAGATCTAAATCTAAAGTCAAGATCTTGATCTAATCTAGAGTAAAGTGCCGCAAGCTGTAACACACCGCTGAAAAAATCCAAACTCCTGATTTTTAACAGGCGATATTTTGTAACCGTTTCACATAGAAACAAACCGGAAGTACTGTGTTACTCAGCTGCCATTCTGCTACCCTAATATGTATAAGTCATTTTGTGTTACTACGCATAGAATTTAAGATTTTATTGCGACAATTTTCCCCTTTTTTTTGTCTGCGGCCGTCTGTCCCTGCTCGCATATCGACCGTATTTTAAAATTTTATTTTCAATTGTAATAATCGAAATAAATATTTTACACATTTAAACGTTTTGTTGATTGTATTATTAATTGATTGCAAAACAAAAAAGTAGAGAGTAGAAAATAAATTTTATATTACATTACATATATATAAAATTCTCTTCATGGAGGGACCATGCGGGACACCACGTATACACAGGCCACCCCAGCCTCTCCCTCGCTTTCTAGGCATGCTCAACACTGACAACAGACCATTTTGTTACCACCCCCACCCCACCAGTCTGGTGAGCTGTTTACAATCTTAGAGCCGGGTCGAATTAGTCGGCTATCACAGGCAGATAATTTAGATTTTTTTTTTATTTTTGAAACTAAAGGGAGGTAATAACAAGTTCTGCTTTGTTCTTTGCCATATGTAAACTGTTGTCACGGATGACTGCTTTCACAGGGGGCGGGGTGAGGGGGAGGAATGGAAAGTGAGGGTGAGGATAATCATCCTTCAAAAGCTACTGATAGTGTTTTAAAGCAAAATATTTTCAGCCACAGCATTGGTAGTGTCAAATTCACAAAAAATGATTTACTAAAAAATAGAAATAAAACAACTAAATAGCTGTGTATGCTACATTGCAGGTCAGCTCATATACACTATTTTTTAAATACAAAAACATTTTTCTCCATTGTTTATTGCGCCATTACACGTGAAAACCAAATTGTTTTTGTTTTTTCTTTAACTTTTAGTTAGTTACCGAAAATATTAAAAACATCAAATAGGCCTACATCCAATCTTTCGTAAAGTCCGAAAAAACCAGACAGACAGGATTTTATAACCATATTAATTGTAACTACGCTGTTCATGATTTTAAAATTAATTATTGGACCTCTCAAATACCTTTGAGACTTTTCTCGGCCATTAAGAAATTAAGAACATCCAAACAATTATTGGATCTAGAATAATCTAGATTAGATATTGAGCAAAAAAACAGGAGGATTGCTGCAGCAGTGCGGCACTTTAGTAGACTTTACTAGATTCTAGATGATCCCTAGGTCTCACTAGCTAGTAGGTTTAATTATGGATTTTTAAAAATAAAATATGGATCTAGAATAGATTCTAGATCTAGATTCTAGAATCTAGATCTGGATATCTAGAATCTAGGGTAAGTCTCCATTTTAGAGTATTTTATTAGAAAAACACTAGGATTAGAGCTCGATCTAGATCTACTTTTTTTTAATGAATGTGAGTTTTAATTAGAAAAGGTATAAAAAAAAAAAAACATTAAAAAAGCATATGGACAGTTCGAATTGAATAGCGTGAAAAAAAATCCCTTCACAGTCGAGGGTTCACCGTGAGTTCACATTGACTTTACTTATCAGCATACGTCAAGCAAGAACATACATTTACATTTTAATAATTATTTCACATTTTGAGGAGGATTTATGTTTTGAAAAATACAAAAATGTTTCCTTGTTTCCTTTATGTACCTGTTTTTAAACAATTAAATTAAAACTTTTCAGTAATAAATGAACACCAGCGATGTTTCCATCAGATGCAACCATGCTCATTTACTAATATAGCAGCCATCTTGTTAAAGTTTTATTTTTATAGACTTATAGTGCGAGATTCAGGCGGAAGTCACTCTATTCTACAAATGGCTGCTGTTTATATAGCAAATCTTGCTTGCAGACACTGCTGTTTAAAGTTAATTACTGGCCTATATTGATTATTTAGCCATTGATTTAGGTTTTTTATTCATTTATCTATAATATTTGACACAAACATGTCACAATATTCATATAGATCTCTACTTCTATTACAGCCTTGATAATGAGGTAACATTTTCGTACATTAATAGCCGCGGGCGATTTTAATACCCAAAACGATAGATTACCGGCTTATTTAATATTTATTAAATAAGCCCAATGTTTTCCTAACGTTTTTGTATGTTTCGGTTGTGTTTATAATAAAATACGCTCAACTGGAGGTGAACGTGAAGCTGGGAATAAAATACGCTAAAATGGAGTTTTACCGAATCTAGATCTCGGTATAATCACGATATAGCATCGGTTATTATTTCGGAACTGTACAGCAGTAAAAAACAGTAAAACCATGGGGTAGTCTGTTAAACCGTTCCGGAAACCACAGGAAATACTGTATACCATCATTTATATGCCGCCATATTATTTTTAATACATAATGTTGAAAAATGTGCAAGGATTGATTTTAGTTGCAATTTAAATACTGTTTTGCTAATTATTTTGTATTTCTAATTATTTTAAGTGTATGTGCTAATTATTGCTGCTACTAAACATTATTCTAGTTAATAGTTATTCTTACTACTTTTAACTTTAGTAAATCTAATCGTCTTATTTACTAACAGAACTAGAGCTGGTTGTCGCAAATCTTCTGCAGGTTTTTTCTGTTTCTTAAAAAAAAAACATTAATTACTACACTCGACTTTATTAATAATATTTAGATTTACTAATTGTTGCTAATTTTTTGTCAGTTAAAACATTAAATTAAGTTAAAACATTAATATAATGTAGGCCGTTTCGTTGATTAGATGGCTGGATTGACCTATGACCCTGAAACGTCACGCGTCGTTTTCTGACGGTTTTTACGTTTATTTTAGGGGTCCTATCCACGACAAATGAAAAAGCTGTTAATCTCGCATATTCTTATCATTAATTTAACACAAGATGCTAAAAAATGGATAATATGCCTTAGAATGCCAGAAAAAAATCGCTAGAATTGTAGTTGTAAATAATGAGAGGATTTCTAGTGGAGCACTCTCCGTATAAACTGAACCGCGGCCAAAAGCGACCGTATAACGGGGAAAACGGCCTGTATAACGGTAGATTAATATATAATTTAGATATTTACCATGTATATTTACAGTATTATGGATGATCTTTACCAAAAATCCAATTACCCCGTAAGTAACCATGTGACAATTTCTCTCTGCTATTTTTAGTAACGTTGCGTCATTGTTACGCTAGTTGCCAGACAGAAACAACTAGTTTTTTGTTTTTTGCGGAATGAACTGTTAAGTCTAGTATTTTAATTATAATTCAATTGTAGCATGTGCGGAAAAAGTAAAATTATGGACATTATTATTATTGTATTATTAATTTTATTTGTATATTGATTTTTTTCTTCTCTGTGGGCCGACAGTAGCTGCATTGAATTTAATTCGTGACCCGTGGTTAACCTTGTCAACGCTGCGTGGCCTATTCGTTTATATAATTAGTGATGCTCGTTCAGTGGCCTTTTTCAGAGCTAGGCCTAATTACGGGCGATTTTTAGACTTAATTGATCGGCCGTTAGCCTTTTTCATTGCTGCGTATTTTTAAAAAATGCTCGTTCAGCAGCCTTTTTTTTGGCGCTAAATAATCTGTTTACGGGCATTTTAAGCGTTTATTTATTTATTTTTTTAAGCTAGGCGTAGACAGATCTAGTTAAAAAAATAATCTAGCATGCCATGTGAAATTTAAAAAAAAAATGACCGGACTTTTTTAAAAATGTCCAGAAGTAGGGAAGTAGGTCTGTTTTTCAATTTGCTTGAAGAAGGGGGGGGGGGGGGGAGAGAGAAGTGAAGACACTGACCATCTCGTGTACGCGTGTTCATTCTATTACGTGTACTATAGGCCTGCTGAAGTCACTGTGACCCCAGTGACAGTGGTGGGATTTTTCATCCATGGGATAGTAAACGTAAGCAAGCAATCACGCGAGTGACGATGTTTGGAGATTTTATTATTAAAAAAAATCAAATACGTCATGTTTTCAAGTAAATAACCTAAGCTGACGCAATTACCATGGCGGGAATGAAAAGCTCATGTACACAAGTCCACAACGTAATGTTATGCCGGTTAAGGAGTAAGAATGCTGTTTCCTCGTTCATTTTCAATTCTAAGATAATTTTTAAATTCTCTCTTTTCTTGTCAACCGAGTAAGCTAGATATTTAAATGTGGTGTCAAATGTTCTCTTAAAGGGTAAGGTAGTTAATGGTGTATTTAAAATAACTGAGTAGGGGGGCCTATTTTATTTAAAAAAATCCATAATTCAACCTAATATAATGCACTTGACTTTATTTTTCTTTCAAAAATCAAATAAACTATCGTTTACAGTAACGAATGTTACCGAAACTCAACGAACATCTATATATATAATTCTCTTCTGGGAGCCGTTAGAAAACAAGCTGCAAGCGCCTCCTTGCAGTCCCCTCTCTTTCTCTCTATCACTATCACTACCACCCCCACCCCACCCCCACATTGTCTGGTGAGCTGTGGTCACGCTAAATGTTTACAAAGCTAAATGTTTACAAATCGTGAGCCGTAGAGCCGGGTTTCTATTAGGGGCAGATAATTTAGTTCGATTTTAAACTTACAGGAGGTAACTAAGAAATAACTAAGAGGAGGCTGCTTTCACGGGGGGGGGGGGGGTGTAGGGTCGGGGTTAGGGGAAAGGGGGGGTAGTGTTTTAAAGCAAATATTTTCAGTGGCAGCATTGGTACTAGAGTCTAGAGAATCTAGATCTAGATCTAGTACTGTCGAATTCACAAATTATGAATTACTGAAAAGTAGAAAATAAAACAACTAGATTCTAAATAGCGGCGTATGATACGCTGCGGGTCGGCTCGTTACCCAATAATCTCCGACGCCATATCGTGATTTTACCTAGAGTCTAGATCTCTAGATCTAGATTCTATAGATCTAGATCTATCTAGGAATCTAGATTCTAGAGATCTAGATTTTACGTAACATTGCACTTATGCAGAACTTGCTTGCAGTTGCAGAGTGCAGCAATCAGTCAACTTTAACTTACATTTTTTCTTGAAGAATTCCATAGTAAAAATAGCAAAAAAAGATTCCAGCAGCACAGACAATTAACTTTTTAGTGCTCGGTTCACCCATGGTGGTAGTTGTTATCAATACTTTGTGGTGTTTTAATTTTGTGTCCTCATTAACTTCGGCTGTCTTAACGATCGACTGGCCCGTCTCGTTCTCAGACATTAGATTACGGCGTACCTCGGACCGTAACGTGTCGTTCTATTATGAAAACTCGTGTTGACTTCCGGGTAAAGGACGATAAAAGTTAGCGATTGATTGGGTCAATTTCCAACAAGTGGGCGTGTTTACAGCAACTACAAAAGAAAATAAAAATGATAAATTATTTCAGAATTTTGATAGACTAGATCCATGTTGAAAACTCACATTATATTTTTATAATACTACTGTGATAAATATTGATTACAACAGACTTTTTTTAAAAATGTATAGATGTAAAATAGCCCACATATAAAACTCAGCACGCGTTTTTAGCGCAATTTCCATTCTGGAGAATTGCGTTTATTAACTCGTCATTTCTGGGAATGGATGGATGAATGAATGAATGTATGGATGAATGTGTGTCCGGGCTTTAAGTCGTATCTCCTCCTCAACGAAGCAATATCGATGACTAGTTCCAAAAGCAATTATGTTAAGCAAGTTACGAGAATGAGCATAGGCCATAAAAATTCCGGGTTTCTTTCATGTATTTCCCGGAAAAGCCAAAAAACCTCGAAAAAAATCAGTTTTTGTCCCATATCTCGGCAACCAGACCACTTAGCAACTTGAAACATGTACCAATCGATTCCTGCCATAATTTAGAACAATATTGCAGAAGAAAGTTTTCAAAAATATCCTCTGGTTCGGTCACAAATTTTAAAATTACATAAACACCTACAAACCGATCGTTCTTTTAGCTTGAACGCACCCCAGCATTATACGTCAGAGCTATTTTTAGATAACATAAGGAAATAGCGCATAAATGTCACTAGACTTTTTTAATTAACTTGTTTTAACCCTTTACGGCAGAAATGGAATTCATATTCTCATTAGGTCATTATCGCGAAAATAAACTAGCTGTATAGCACTAGAAAACTAAGGGCATATGACAGACTCGAATATGACGGGATATATGTAAAATGCCCAAACAACTTTTTCTGACTGTAACGTATCAACGGTGCTGCTGACCGCATCAGGAATGAGGCATTTTTTTTAAAATCTATCATTGGTCCGAGTAATTCAAATTGGGGGTCGTCCATAAATGACGTCACACTCGTAGGGGGGAGGGGTTCCGTAATTTTGTGACGGTATGTGATGAGGGGGAGTGGGGAGTCAGATGGTGTGACGTCACACTTTTGCATTATAAAAAAGCAATGTCCGAAAACAAGTTTTATAGCCATTATTTCGCGTTTTAGAACACGGTTTTAATCAATTGTAATAGGAATTAATTAAATACTCTATGTTAACAGAGTTCAGACAAGATTTTGGAAAAGTATGGATGTTTTGAGATAAAAATTCAACTGCAATTATGAGGGGGATTGTAGGCTGCGGTGTGACGTCATTTTAGCGGGGTCAGGCTTTTGTGACGATTTGTGAAGGAGGGGAGGGGAAGGTAAATATCGTCAAAAAAAGCGTGACGTCGTTTAAGGGTGACCACATTAGTGTTCTATATTAAATTTCCGTTTCACGAGAAAAGGTTATGCAGAACGACCAATTCGCAATTTTTCTGTGGGGGTGGGGGGGGGGGGCTCGTTCATAAATGATGTCACTCTCGGATTTTTGTGACGATGTGTAATGAAGGATGAAGGGAGTTCAGAAAGTGTGACGTCACGTTATTTTTTTAAAGCAATATTTTGAAACTAGAATTGGGTTTTCAACAGTAGCGTAGCGAGGAGGGGGGGGACATATGTCCCCGGGCGCCGACCTTAGGGGGCGCCAAAATGGGTTGGAAAAATAAATCGAAAGTTTGAGGGGGGGGTGCAAATCGAAATCTTGAGAGGGGGGGGTGCAAATCGAAAAGTTTGTCCCCAGGCGCCGGGCAGGGTCGCTACGCCTCTGGTTTTCAAATACTTTTTTTGTTAATTAAAATACTGTTTCATATCGAAATTCAAGGTCATCTTTAAGTTCTGGTGTTGGCAGTGAGGTATTTAGGATGGTTATAAATAGACCTCCGATTTAATCGTTAATAGTTTTGCGAGTCTAAGTCTAACGGATAGTAAATTGTGTCTGAAGTTTATTGATTAAGACATAACACATTCTTTACCTGTAATAAAACTAAGTTTAATATTTTTTATTTCAACGTTTTTCGTAATCGTTTTTGGGGCTTCTCCCCCCCCCCTTTCCCCCACCAACGTTCATTTGCCTGAATTATTACCTCCTATATATCGTTAGCCATATTCCTATCCTAACCCTATCTATAACACCCAGTTTCTTCCAGGCATCTCTTCGGCCCCCCGAAGAAAGTCTACCGCTACCCGAACGAAATGGAATTTCTATATTTATATTTAGAAAATATATACTTTTAACAGTGTCCGCCCCCCCCCCCTTGGGCATAGTAGGTTCCCCTCCCCCCGAAAATTTTCAGTCCCCCCCCCCCCCACCCTGGAGAAAAGTCTGGAAGAAACACTGATAACACCTACCCTTTACCTAATTGTAAACCTAACCACACCATAATTCATATCCCTATCCCAGCCCTGTATTTTCTTTGATCAAATACTAGCTTTATAGGTTAAGGGTCAATTAATAGTAATCGGCAGCGTGGACACGAGTTCCAAACCCAGGCTCTAGACTCTAGACCTAATATTAATATATTGTCTCCTGACCGAAATACCCCAAATGTACAAGTTAGACGATGCGGTGCAATTGGGGGGGGGGCATTAATAATAATAGCCTGGGGAGAGGGGGGGGGGGCATCAATTTTGACGTAGACAAACATTTCGGATTTTAGACCATCCCTCCTTCCCCAGCCCACACGCGCCCAATTTTGACGACCCTCTCCCCTATCGATGTGAAAGTCCACAAAATGTTGTAGACATATCAAAACTTACTACCAATTTACTACTTCAACAACATGTATTATGTACCTATTAACTGATAAACGGATTGAATTTTTCAGTAATGTTTAATGCTAAATATAGGCCTAAAAATTTGAAGTAGAAGAATCCGAAGCAGTGTTTCTTCCAGACTTTTTTCTCCGGGGGGGGGGGGGGGGAGGGCACTTGATATTTTCGGGGGGGGGGGGTCTACATTTTCCGTGGGGGCGGACATTAGTAAAAGTATATGTTTACTATATAAATTCCATCTCATTCGGTGGGGCGGTAGAGATGACTGGAAGAAACTCTGATCCGAAGTAGAGAGAAAAATGAGTATGCCTACGTTTTAAACGTCAAAGTATAAATATATATTTATTTCAATTATTTTCCCCCTCACCAACCTAAACATCATGCAAAGTATTAAAAACTTTGTTTTTTTGGGTGTGGGGGGGGGTGTCAAAAGTATTGTTCAATTTAGGCGTACTTGATAAATCTATATTAAAAATTAATATTAGCATTTATGAGTATAAGATTAAGAAGTCGCAAGCCCTCTTCGGGTTCAAGGCATTTTTTTTATTAACTTCATCGCTTGCTTACCAAATAAATGCTATTTTTATTTTGTGTGTGTGTGGGGGGGGGGGGGGGGGCTCGTCCATAAATGACGTCACACTCCGGAGGGGAGGGTGGAGGGTGTGAAGACACACTTTTGCAATAGTGTTATCTGTTACTTTACGTTGGAATTTTTTAAATTTAAATAACAATTAAAATAGGCTGAATCAAGGTTGACAGAGTCCAGTGAATATTGTAGAGAAAAAAATGTTTTATTATTTTTTAGAGAGGGGTGCTAGGCTGAATTGTGATGTTATTTTAGGTGTTGGGTCGTGGCTTTTTGTGACAATGTTTGGGGGCACTAGTTTAAGTATTCATTTGTATATAAATAATATTTAGCTCGGGCACTGCCCCCACCCCCCTCGAAGAAAAAAAAAAGAAATTTAGCTCCTATATAACATCAACACCCTAACCCCAATGCAAACCTAATCGGCGATACCATCGATTCTATTAGATATTCGATTATGAGTTTACAGCTTACTGGGCTACGTTGCGTAGATTCCAGACTTCAAGACAAAGTGGCACATGTTCCACCATCACGAAGATAAGAACAATTAAACAACAAACAGCATCAAGGATAAGTCAAACACGACTCCACGGGATCTCAACAACTATAAAGGCTTATATCTACGAATTTCTTGAAACAGGAATTGGTTGGTGTTTGTTAATTTACACTTAATAGCTATAGATCATAGATCTATAGTTTTTTATCTTAATATCTAAGAGTCACAATAAGAAGAGACTTCCCCACAATGTTTTTAGTAACTTTCCTTTTCAATCAGCTACTTTAAAAAACGCAGTGTCTTTAAATGGCCAATTAAAACTTTTTTAAAAATTCGTAATTGTTAATTTCAAATACTAGCCTATATACTATATAGTTTCTATTCTCACAGTTTTCTGCTGGGAAAAATATAAATAATATATAACACACCCTTAGCTTATAGATCTACAAAATTAAAACAATACTCCAATTAGAAATCAACGCGTTATAAACCAGTTCTGCTGGTCAAAGCGGCGTAACGTTTACCTCTAACGTCTAACCAGACTGTGTGCAGGTAAACCTATACATCAACACATGTCTAATCCCAGTTCGGTCGTGTGGGCCACCGCTTAAGTCAGTCCGACTCTTTGTTATCTTAAAGCCAGCGAACGGCGATTTCAAGCAGTATATAAATCTATGCAGCTGCCGACTTTGAAAAAAAAATCCATACGAATATCGATATAATCCCATACGTTAATCGAGTAAAAGATATAGGCCTTCTACCGTCTTCAGACAGATACGGATCGGGGCTGGAGATTTTTTGGCCCATCCCCCCCCCACCACTAGGTCCTACGCCTATAAAGCCTCCTGAGTTTCTTTCAGAATGTTTCCTCGGTCGGGGGGGGGGGGGGCGGGGGGGGGGGGGGGGGAGCGCACAGGGAAATGTAGGCCAATATATATTTTCTGTACAAATCATACATATAAGCCTATATATATATATATATATATATATATATATATATATATATATATATATATATATATATATATATATATATATATATATATATATATATATATATATATATATATATAATATATATATATAATATATATACTCTGAGACCTTATAGATTATTGTGTATTGTGGGGCGCCAGGCAATAGCAGCTAAGTGTGATTGTTTCTCATACTTTCAATTTTCTTAATGCCTAATCAGGTAGTGTTTTTTTAAGCTGTCACAATTCTAAAACGATTTGAACAGCATAATGTAAACTTAAACTTAAAGTAATACGAGCGCACTGTTGCAAATCGTTTAACGCGGAAAACTTTCATTTTGGGGCTATTAGAAAGGAGGGGCGGTTTATATCCCCTGCCTACGCCACAGTACTAGACACATTCAAGCTGGATGAAACAGTGGCGGAACTAGAAAAAAAGGGCCAACCCGCAAAAACAAATTTTCGGGCCCCTCCATATATATATATATATATATATATATATATATATATATATATATATATATATATATATATATATATATATATAAATATATAAAATATATATATGTGTGTGTGTGTGTGTGTGTGTGTGTGTGTGTACAAACAACAACTATGAACATAGGATACTCATTTCTGGCCTGATCGGGTTTTTAAAAAAAATGCTTGTTTTTCTTCAATTAAATCAAATTACAACACCTTCTTATGTGTGTGAGTGCTTAGTCTGTTTTGAAAAACTGTTTTATTTAATTTTTGCCGTATTCTTATAAACTATCAAGACGGTCGAAAGAATATGAAACATCAAAGCTTAGTATGTGTAATGGTTTCTCGTGTTATGTTTATTTCAATGTCTTTTTGTATTTATATTATTAATTTTAAATACATTTCTTTTTTATACTGTTATTCTTTAGTATGTATTTTTTGAAACATAATAATTAAGAGAAGTAATTGCTTTTAGTTTGTTTAGTACAAATCTATTAAACCCCTAATAGACTATTTAAAAAAGGGAAATAAGTCATGGAAGTAGTTTAACAGTTTGCCAATCTTTCACAATGATTTAAAAACAAAGGGAAAAAGAATATACAAGAGAGTGGAATGGTGTCTATAGAATAAAGATAATCCAACTGCAGCTATAGTATTCTTGTTACAAAACAACCATCAAGTCAAAAATAAAAGAAAATAAAGTTTTTTAATTATTAAAAAATTGATTATGGTCGGCTGTGGGCCCCCTAAATTGCGTACCCCCCCCCCTCCCCCCGCATTGCGGGGTCTGGCGGCACTGTAGTTCCGCCCCTGGGATGAAAGCTGTTCTCGTTCCGTCGATCGTGGTCAGGTTAAACCTCTCTAATCCGGCTCAAGTTACTTTTGCACCTGTTGTTGATTTTAATACGGAATTTAAATGGCACGTGTTGTTGGTTTGGATAAGTAAATTTAAATGTCACATGGAGTTGGTTTTCTTATGGAACTTTAAATGTCACCTGCTTTTGATATGGAAGTTTAAATGTCATCTGCTTTTTGTTTTTATATGGAAGTTTAAATTGTACACACTGTTAGTTTTATTACGGAAATTTAAATATCACCCGATTTTGGTTTTGATATGGAAAATTTAAATGTCACAGACAGGTACCTTGAGTCATAAAGATTGTTTCACAACGTTTATCAATATCAGTTGATGCTCTAGTTAAAGGCTCTCACATGAACATGTACCAAGGGTAATATTTCCATGTCTTAATCCTGTTTACTCCTTATGGAGCAAAGGGCCTCAATCATAACCTTCCATTTTGTCCGGTCTCCTGCTGTTGATTTTGCAGCATCCCAAGTCATCCTTGATGGCTTCAGTTCTTCAAGAAGACTCGCCGCTTCAGGGTTGTCTGGGGCGCCCTCTCTTTCACGTTCCCTAGGATTTCCTCTTTCGCAGTGTGTGTCCAACTTTTAAAAAATGCTAATTCTTATTCAAATGAAGTCTGTAACGCACAAAATATAAATATTTTATTTCAAACAGGAGCCCCAGGGTGGTTGTGTTATTTTATGCCAATAAGCAGTTTTTACCACGGGCAAAAAGCTATTTCCATTGACAAGCAGCAATTTTTACCTCTCAAACAGCCTTTTCTATTCGTACTGTCAAACAGCCATTTCTACCAACAATCATTCATTCGTACTGACAATCAGCCATTTCTACCAACAATCATTAATTTTTACCGACAAACAGCCATTTCTGCCAACAATCATTTATTTTTACCGACAAGCAGCCATTTCTGCCAACAATCATTTATTTTTACCGACAAACAGCCATTTCTGCCAACAATCATTCATTTTTACCGACAAGCAGCCATTTCTGCCAACAATCATTTATTTTTACCGACAAACAGCCATTTTTACTGTCACACAGCCATTTCCACCGAAAAGCGCCACGTGTACACATAATTTTCGTTTCGTTACCGAAACTATTATCGAACAATTCAAAAAGCTTGTTCAAAGGATGGTTAGTTAGATGAGGTCAAGCGAGTTAGGGGTAAATAGATATGTCGGTTTCAAATGCGGGGTTTCTTTCACATCCTTTTTCGCGAGGGGGGGGGGGGGCACTTACAACTTTCGAGAGGGGGGGGGGGGGAGGGGAGGAACGGAGGGACGCTGGTTAAAGCATTATTTGTACATACATTCTACTGTGTTCATTTCATCAGAGGGGAGGGGGGGGGGGGCGTAAATGTGCTCTGCTCCCCACAACCTAATAATTGATGACTGAAAGAGACGCTTAAATGGTTTTTTACCTCCCCTCCGTCACACATCGTCACAAAAAGCAAGACCCCGCTAAAATGACGACAAACCTTAGCCTACAACCCCCCCCCCTTAAAAATTGCAGTTGAATTTTTATTAAAATACGATATTTTTCCAATATCTTGTCTGAACTCTGTCAACATAAAGCATTTTAATCAATTCCTATTACAATTTATTAAAACCGTTTTCTAAATCGCAAAATAACGGCTAAAATTAGTTTTCTTACATTTCTATTTTATAATGCAAAAGTGTGACGTCACACCGTCTGAACTCCCCCTCATCACACACCGTCACACAATTACGGACCCCCCCCCCCCCAAATCCCCCTAGGAGTGTGACGTCATTATGGACGACCACCAAAATAAATATAACATGCAATGATGATTTGTATAAAATTCCATTTTTAAAGGACATCTTAAATGGTGGCCCATTACTAAATAAAGATCAACTCTTGATCTCTAGATACTATTAGTACAGATCTATATATTTACACATATTACATCATTTACATAGTACGTAGTATAGGCCTCCAAATCTTTAGATAGGAAATTTATTATCTTTCTGTTCAGTGTATGCTTGGAACCTATTTAAAAAGCCACTTCATTTTATTGTATTTATTTCTTGAAATGATGTTAAATGGGCATCGACTAAATCATTTTAATATTTAAATCATAGCTACAGGCGAAATATTTATATCTTTTCAATACTTTATTTTTCATAATATGGCCTATTTTTGATTGTTATTGTTTGTATCACGTGATCCCTGTTCATGTGATTAGCCGCCATATCAATTGGATGGATAAAGCTGCGGAACAAAATTACTCGTCGTCTTAAAACAAGTTTTGTTGACGACTGTGATCAATGTAGAATAGATTCCAGGAAATTTTTCCCTAAAGTAGGTACGAAATTTGTCTTAAGTTATTAGTTTAGAACACCAAAATTGTCTATGGAAAGACTTTAATAATTCACTTTTAAATCGTGAACAAAAATATGTTTGTGATGACCGTAAGTGTGAAGTGAGAAGATATCCCGCCCCTTTTTTCGTCCTACACCACAGTGCTCACTCTTTTCATTTTCAATCAATAATGTATCGACTGCAGATTTCGCACAGCTTGCGTAGTCAGCTTTGAGTCGGTGACTCATCGCTCGTTGCCATCTAATGAACATTCGAAATTTCCCACTGACAAACATGACCAATGTTTACATTTATTTATTTATTTACTGGTTTGCACATTTCTGGTTTGCTTCTCTGCTTTCTCATTTATTTAGTCATTTAACAGCTGCTGTTGTTTATAATATGATAATATGTAATGAGTGGTAATCTACTACTACTACTAGAATAACTGGATGTAGAGTCTAGTTAGACTTTAAAATATTTTGTTATAGGGAAGAGAGAGCTATTAAATTAAATAGCTTACAAAATATTTTAAACAGAAAGCAGATTTATAAGTTATAACTAGATCTATAACATAACTACTAACTAAAATATTCTAGATAAACAATTAACTTGTAGAATCTAGGTTAATTTTATTTTAATAGGTATTAAGTTTAGATTAATTATAATTATTATAGGCCTAAAGTTTATAACTTTATAGTTATACTCAATACTCCGTTTGCCTAAGGCCTATTGGCTATTAAATATTATAAAGTATAGTCGATAGGCCCTATTTTTCTAAAACAAATTTAAAATAATTTAATGGATGATATTTCGAGTCAACCTTTTTTTAAAAAGAAAATTTAGTCACCATACTTTAAAAAAAATCACAGGCTAGTGGTTTAAAAGAAATATTTTGCTATTTTAGGCCTGAAACTAATCCTAGCAGCAATACACTACTAACAATACTAAAATATTTCTTGTATAGCTAAAATGATAAATCTAGTATTGTGTTAAAAACATTTAAAATGGCATTTTATGGCATTACATAATTCTAGATCTGTCTGTATCAATTCAAACAAAAACATGAGTAATCTTTAAAAATCATTGTCAATTAAATGTTCTGCTTAGAGTTTAAAATTACTTTTTCAATTGTGGGTGTTTCTGATTGGTTGTTGGATTAGCTTTTTACCTTGAATTTCTAAATATAACTCAGTTTCAAAGATGAAGTCAAGTGTCTTACTGTGAAATATTTGCTTGCAGAAATGGAAAATAAAATTTAAGATGAATCAGAAATTTAAGAAAAGCTGTATTACAAGCACTGTGAAGTAAATTAATTTTAAAGGTAGGTAGATCAGGTTTTTTTATTGTTACATTCTGCATAGGCTAACGTTGATATCATGTTATACATAAGATCTGTTTATTAAAAACACTTAAACAAATATTTTATGTTAACTTAAATGTTTCAGACCATATATATTGATTGATATCTATTGATTGAACCAATTCTAAAATTAGATGAAAATTCTGTTAAGATTTAAAGAAAATGTAAATAAATTTCCATATTGCATTTTGGCAAAAAATTTTTATTTTACTGTTGTGTTGTTGAATATTTCTTCAAACCATGTGTTTTCCTCTAATAGCAGAAGAACCAAATTTAGATTACAGCTTTTTGATTTATTAAATTTATTCATCGCTTTGTGGCAAAGGTCACATTGTTAGATAAATAAAAACACAAAACACTTGTTTTGATATAAAATTCTGTGGTTTTGTATGAATGGATTTTAGGATGTGTTCATAGCCCAAATGTTTTCCCTTTCAGATTACTATTATGTTATAATGTATTAAAGTAAAAAACAAAAATATCTACTTAGCATTTTAAGAAAGTTTGAATATTCAAATTGTAATTATATACAGTAAGAGTATTTGTTTAAAAATGTCTGTTTATCAAACATTTATATTCATTATATCTTAGCCTTTGTGATGAAATAGACTGTTAATGTTACAGAGTTTCTTCCAGGCATCTTGAGCCCCCCCCACCCCCCCGGAGAAAAAAAAGTCTGGAAGAAACACTGATTGTATTATCATTAATATAAGCTTAACTGAGCAAACATTTGTAAAGTATATGTAAATTAAACAAATTAAAATTTGTGTTAGTTGACAGGCTGAAACTAAACTAACAATGGATGTGTTCTCCAAACTAAGACCATCAAAATCCAGAAAAAACTCCCTGCCTGATCACTCTACACCTCCAAGTAAGGAGGAAATAATCAATGTCTTGGAGAATTACACCCTGGATAAACTAAATACTAAGCAAGGTTTGAAATTTTTGAAAAGTTTTAATTAGCATTTTAAAGTCAGTTACACAGTGTTTTTTTAATTGTTAGTTTAATTTTTTTTTTACCATTGTCTTATTTTTATACTTTATTTTTAAAAAAATACTTTTTAATATTTTTATTTTTTGTTTATTGATATCCACAGAGAAGAACAATAACTCTGATCACTTGTCTCGTGGATCAAGTTTGGATTATAAGGGCGACATGGTGGAAGATGAAACCAAATCAGCATCGGCTAGCTTATCACATTCATACAGGTATTCGCTTTGGTCTTATATTCTTAGAAATGTGGATTTACAATTACAACCTTTAAAGTTATGAATGCTATTATATGTAAATTTTACATTGCTTTTTTTCGGGTAAATTTAATTTTAAAGGCTACATTACGGTCATAAAGAAGTTTTTGTAAGTTGACCAATTAAAACTTATGGTGGTCAATAAATTATATAGCTTGATTAAAAATTTTATTCTATCATATCTAAATCTAATTTTATTATAAAGAACACACTTTTTTATTTCATTTCATCCCATTTTCAGAAACACAATTACTGTTAATTGTACATTACACTAATCAATAATGCCAAAGTACAGCTTAAATCTGAAGGCACTGACAGTTTCAATCTCTTCTTTCTTATATCAAAAAGAGACGAAACATGTAGCATTGTATGTTCTGATGAAATCCTGTATGATTGGTCATTGGTTCTATTATGTCTTGTTTCTGTTGGAATACCTCTTAGAGTAATTTTGACCTTATGGAATACTAATGGAATACTGTTTGGTTGGTCAATACATTTGACCTAATGGAATACTGTTTGGTTGGTCAATACATTTGACCTAATGGACTACTGTTTGGTTGGTCAATACATTTGACCTAATGGAATACTGTTTAGTTGGTCTGCTTCTTTAACCTCTGACCTAATGGAATACTGTTTGGTTGGTCAATACATTCGATCTCTGACCTAATGGAATACTGTTTGGTTGGTCAATACATTCGATCTCTGACCTAATGGAATACTGTTTGGTTGGTCAATACATTCGATCTCTGACCTAATGGAATACTGTTTGGTTGGTCAATACATTCGATCTCTGACCTAATGGAATACTGTTTGGTTGGTCAATACATTCGATCTCTGACCTAATGGAATACTGTTTGGTTGGTCAATACATTTGACCTAATGGAATACTGTTTGGTTGGTCTGCTTCTTTAACCTCTGACCTAATGGAATACTGTTTGGTTGGTCAATACATTTGACCTCTGACTTAATGGAATACTGTTTGGTTGGTCAGTACATTTGAACTGTAATGTATCTGTTAGAATATTGTAGGACTGGACATTACTAGTCCTCTGTGTGTATTCTAGTCTGGAGTGGGACAAGCTCTTCCACACGAAGGACATGATGAAGAAGTTGAAAGAGAGGGCGATGGAAGGGGAGCTACGCAGTAGCAGGTTCAGAAGTTTAGTCTGGAAGGTAAGCAGTCTACTGTAAGGTCATGTGATAGTAATGTAATTTGGGAGTTAAACTTAACACTTAATTTAATGTGGTGAAACTTATGTCGAAGGATATTGGTAATTTGATTGAAAGTTAAGTGTTAAAACTGTTTCATGCTACTCTAGATCAGTTCTAATTTTAAATACCATGAGGTTAAACTTGACACTCTGAAGTTAATTTGGTGAAGCTAATCTAGGAGGAAATGGTTTATTAGATTCAGGGTCAAGTTCTAAAACTGTACCATGTTATTTTAGTGTGGCTATCAATTCTAATATTAAATATGAATACAAATACAGCTAACATATTATTTTGAATTGATGTGTTATTTTAGGTTTTTATTAAAACCGCGTTCTCTTTGCATTATATTATGTAATTATTTTAAATTTCTATTAAAATTTTTAAAACTAATTCTAACATTTATTCATTGAATGATTTTGGTTTGTTGTAGATCTTCCTTGAAGTTCTTCCACCCAGCATGGATGAGTGGATTGAGAAAACCAGAAAGTCAAGGGCCAAATTTGAGGAACTGAAAAACAGGGTGAGAATTTCACTAAATGTGTTTCTTATCAACACAGCATGTTTTAGTCAATGGGACAGCATGGTCTAGCAGTAGAGCTAACCTGAAAGTCTCAAATTTGAATCCACCCAGCTCTGATGGGTATTTAACTCACGTTAGGGAAAGTACATGGGGCTGGGCATGTTGCTGACCACACTATCCCTTCAAATGCTGAGGTCACTGAAACAAGTAATCTCTACTTTACTTGCCCCATTGACCGTCACTTTACTTTTTTTAAAACCTTGATGGATAGATTTTTAATAATAATTTTAACTTTCAAATAATATTATTCTTCAGTTGGTAGTTAATCCAAGGAAAGCTGTGGATTCTGTGGATATAACTCTCAATAATCCGCTCTCCCAAGATGAAGAGGTGTGTGTGATTTTTGTTGTTGCTGCTTTCTGATCTGAATTGGTAACGTTCTGCCACAATTTTGCGGACCGCACGGGGTGACACCATTTAGGGGGGGTGACACCAACGCAAAAAATAGCAAAATATATAGAGAAAAACTTGAGGGGGGGTGCAAATCGAAAACTTGAGGGGGGTGCAAATTGAAAGTTTGAGGGGGGGAGGTGAGCATATCGTAAATTTGAAAGTTTGTCCCCGGGAAGGGTCGCTACGCCTCTGGGGGTCGACACCATTATGTGCCGCAGGTGACACCCGACCTCGCTACGCCACTGAACATAGCAACTCTACTTTCCTGTTGACCAAAATTTTAGAGTAACATTGCTATTTTTAGTTTGTGTTTGTAAGTAAGTAGTTTTTTTTTATGCTCACAGAGTCCTTGGAATAAATTTTTTCAAGACAATGAACTGCGATTAACTATAAAACAGGATGTGATCAGAACGTAAGTCATTTTTTTATATTGTAACTGTGTAAAGCTGTGTTCTTTTTCAAAAGTTTTATAGAGACACCTTGTTTTGAACTCAGTTTTAAAAAAATCAAATATTAGTTGTTTTAATTAAATTTTCCGTCATGAAAAATAAAATTACATTGGTTTTAAAAAAAAACCGATTTGTGATTATTTAAAAAAAACCATTAGCTTCATGTTTGTTATTGGTTGCAGTTTTTTAAACAAATACTATTAAAATGTATTTACGCCTAACAGCATTTGTTTGCTGTACTAATATAAATGTATTTAAACCATTATTACAAAAAATGTGTGATCTCAAATTAAATTAGTGGTAAAAACTTCTAAACTATGGTACTAGCCATTGCTTTCTTTTATTTTAATTTTTACATCAGCTATTTCTCAATAACTTTTTATACTTTTAACATACAATTTAGAAGATACTTAATTAAAATGAATATGAAAAATATTAGAAGGTTCATTTTCACTGTCTGTCCATGTGTGTTTTTTACACTATCCCAAAAAACTTATAATTTAAAAACTTGCTGTATTGTTGTATATAGTTGTTTGTCTTTTTAAAATAAATTAATCTATAGTGGTAAACTTAAGCCCTTTATAATGAACTAAATATATAGTTTTGATTGGAAATACTCTTATTTTTAATTTTGTTTTCAAAACACACTTTATTTTGTTGGCCACAAGCCAATGAGTAATCTACTCACCTCCATCAAGTGTTTGTTTCTTTATTCAAGTTTAACGTTCTTCATTCATGTTTTTATTTAGCTATCCAGGTTTTCAGTTTGTTTATCCATGGTTTTAGTTTCTTGATCCAGAATTGTTGGTTCTTTATCCAGGTTTTTAGTTTATTCTTCCAGGTTTTTAATTCTTCATCCATATTATTATTGATTTCATCCAGAGTATTAATTTCTGAATCCACATTTTTAGTGTGTTTTTTTCCAGATTTTTAGTAATTTAATCCAGACTATTTGTTCCTTTGTCCAGTTTCTTTAGTTCTTGTTCACAGATCAGTTTTTATCTCTGCTTAGATTCTTAAAAAAAAATCAGTTTCCTTGGTATATTTTCTATTAGGATTAGTATTTTTTTTATTCAGAAGTTCTTCTAAATGTATAATATTTTCAATGAAAACTTGGAGTCGTTGAAAATTTAAAATAAGTTTTAAAATGTTTTAAAATAGTTAGGCCTATTTTATCTAATATTCTTTTTTGCATAAAAAACTTATCAACTCACAGTAAAAAAAAAGACAATTTATATTTCAATTTATATATTAAAAAGATGCAGTTCTTAAAAATCGTCAATCATGTATTTTTTATTTGATATTTTCCTTCATTTAGAATTTCATGAAATCTTATTGTGTTTGAAGCATTATTTTAATCTGCATAACTTTAGTAACAAATATAATAATATATTAACACTTTCAAGTAATATATTATGTTATTAGGCCTATACAGTTATATATTATGTATGCCATAATATTATATTATATGTTATCTAAACATTATCTAGGCTTGGCCATTTACTGTAAATTTACCATTTTACAACATATATCAGCATTTTAAAAATGTAGAATTCATTAAACACTTGAATTTAAAAAAAAAATTAAATGTACATAAAAAAAAATTACAATGAAATTAAAAAACAGTTAATACTTCTTCATCCTCGTTTAAAGTATACTTAATTATAATCTATGTTTTACAGTTGATTAAGCTGTTGATGCATGCAATGACATAGCCATGTTGTCTGGTGCTAACACTGGTATGATTTTGATGCTGGTTGACTAATTTATTTGTATTTGTCTTTAACACTAGAACTTTTGGCAAACATCATTGGAAACAATGGTTCGTCTTTCTTTAATTGGGGTTTTGTGATTCTCTTCACCCACTTGTCTGAATGCTGTTGTTATTAATGGTGTCTTTTTTTTTAGCAAACATATTTGAGCAATTTAAACCATGGGTTTTTAAAATTTAAAAACGGTTTTTAATGGAACAAAAAGAAAACAATCCCATCTAATCAGCCACTTTTGACAATCCTAAAAAGGTGTTAGATTGGGCTGAACTCTTCAAGCTTATAAAGTATAGGAATTAAGACTGGTAGTTCAAGTTTACGTGTAGCAAAATGAAAAAAAAAATACAGTTAAAAGTTTACATTCTCTGAGTCTAACACTGCATTTACACTTGTGACTTGTATATCACCCATGTCTAAAAAAGCAAAAACTTGCAGCAATGTACCATTAATATGTTGCAAGTTTTTAATAAACATATATAGTTTATAGGTTGTAAGTGTAAACATTATGTAAGGTTCAAGAGCACTCAGTAAATAAGCTTAAACATGGAAAAAAAATTTTAATCTGGATAATTAGTAATAAATTTAAAGGAGTATAATTAAAATTGTGTAAAGGTAGTTTAGCTAATTACCCTGTATTTTTTAGTTTAGATTCTGTACATTGTTTTGATTTCATGTAGATCTACTGATACTTAACATATAGTTCTAACCAGGTTTCCAAAACAGCTATTGCTCTGTATTAAAAGTTAAAACTCTAATTTTAAAAGTGCCTTGCCAAGCCCTATGTAAATGAAAAATGCAACTAATAACATTTTAGTTTATACATAATAAATATGAATACAGCTCTAAAACAATTTCACTAGAAAGAATTTTTAGCCCCTAAAAATCCATAAAGTAAAATAGCACTGTTTAAACTGATGTTTAAAGTAAAAAAGGTAAACCTTGCTGTGTTTTAAAGTAGAATTCATAAACATTTTATTTTTTAAAAGCCAAGGCACAGGCAGGATTTTGTCATTGGGAAAGGGGGGGGGGAGAGAGTGGATATTAATTTCCATGTATATGTTACACAATATAATTTGTAAGTAAAATTATGGTTTTATATTGTTTTAAATTATAAGAATTAAATGCAACAAGTTAGCTGCCATTCTGAGGGTTTCTAACTCCCTCTAGCATAGCACACCCCCTTCCCTGCCTTTGCCACTATTTCATATAACAAAAACAACAATGATTTTAAGTTTTTTGAATTGGGTTTTTTTTTTATTATTCAACAAGCAAAGTAGCAACAGGTTTATTGAAATACAATAACACAAAAGTCAAGGCTTAACCTTTCATTTCTCTGACGTCTGAATACAAAGGGGGGTTCCCTGACAGCTGCAGACATTCATTAATTTATTATCATGTAATTTTTGAAACCATTCCCATCATTATTCATGTTAGGGTTCAGCAAGAAATAATGAGATGGTATTGTTAATTAAATTGCTTGGATGGCTTCCTTTCTAATTGTTTATCTTAAATGTATTATAAGATCATTTATTTATAACAGTTTTAAGGTAAAATCTTAATGGCAAAAATATCTTATTTCAAAATACAAATTTATTTTTTAACTGTGCCTCTGAAACTTTTGACACATATTTATTTGGAAACACTTGTTTTCTAGAAGTATTACAGTAGTTTGTTTAGCAGTGCTTTTTTGGTCATAAAATGCACTAGAACATTGTTCTGGCTTTCTTAATAACGGAATTAAAATATTTTGGCATTTTATTTCTACATCCAAAGAAAAAAAAAGCACTGGCCACCAGTATTTCTGTATTCATTGTATGTGCCTGTTTGGCTGTAACTGAAGACTTTGATTATGTTCCTCTCATCAGCTACCCAAAGATAGAATTCTTTCAGTCTAACCAGCTCAGGAACCTCATGGTCAACATACTCTTCATTTTTGCCAAAGAAAACCCAGAGCTCTCCTATAGACAGGTGCCCACTCCTCAATGTTACACATTCTACCTCCCATCTTGCTTCTAGCAGTCTAAAATTTTTTTTTTCTTGCCGAGTTTTTGTTCCATTTTTAAAAAAATATCAATCATTTTAATTATAATGTAATTTAAAAAAATAATTGAGATATAGACAAAGGAGATTGAGATACCATCTGAGTCTGTAAATTACTTTTTAAAATTTTATTTTTAAATTATGCGTAATGATATATGGATTAACTGTTAGTAAGCATGGCTGTTAGACTGCTTGAACCAAAACAAGTATCATCTCATGTCCTTTCACAGTCATGTATTGTATCTTGCATTTTCATTCTGGTTTTAATAGACTGTTGTCTTGCTGATTTTCTTTTATAGCTTTTGTGCCATCTTTCTGTTCATCTTTTTTTTTTTTTTCTTAAATTTCGGAAATGAAACACATTCCCAGTTTTATTTTTGGTGTTGAATCTGCTTTGTTGAGAAGTTACATTCATGTGTAGTTTTGTTGTTTAGTGGTCGGTTATAGTTTTAAAAATTGTAGCTTTTATATTTATGTGTTTTAATTAGTAATTAACAAGTCTTGATTTATTCAGTCAGAATTAAAAATAATTAAAGTTGTAAAATATTTCATAAAATTCATTTCTCCATCAAAAAAAAAAAAGTAACATAATGATCTGTTTATAGTAGCAATCAGTAAAAATTATTTCTCCTTTTTTTTTAAACTTCTGCATTAAAGAGCTTGTATTTGGTGAAGTTCTCAGCTATTGATAGTTTGTCACTATTACTTTGTTTATTTCTTACATTTTTTTCCCTGGCCAAAGAAAGGCAAAACAGGTTTTAGTTACTGATTTAAATTTTATTGATTTCTTTATTGTGGTTAAGATTAAAAACTAAAAACTCACAGCTTGCTAGAGGTCAAGTTTGTTATTTGTTTGTTTTCTTTAAAATTTGCTTGCACACTGATCTTAATTAACAACTTGTCGAGACCACTTCCCTGATGAACATTTCTATATTGTCAATATCAATACTATGGTTTTTCTTTTACCTGATTGAAACCATTCAGGCTTATTAATCTGTGTGGGCTGTGTAATTTGTTTGTTGTATTGATCATATTACCCTGAGTTACTTTGTTAATCAGCCATATTAATTGCCAGATTTTCTTGCAACTTCAAAACGATTGAAGTTCTTTATACTCCGTCCTTTGTATCAAATTTTATTTTCCCAAGTGGCAGATGCTGTGTTACACAGCTATAGCTACCCAGATTGTTTTAACTTTTTGTGTTGTTTAGTATCTTAACTGTGTGCATGTGTGTGTGTATTTATATATATATATATATATATATATATATATATATATATATATATATATATATATATATATATATATATATATATATATATATATATATATAATTGCTGGATCTGTTAATAACAATTTTCCTTGATTATGTGGAGGTTCTTGACCCATACCACCAAATGCAGATGTTCTACAATCTAGATATCTGTGTAGCTCTTCACTCAAGAGTTCACAATTTAACTAAACACATGACCAATGTACTTTATCTCCTCATGTTGTGACTGTTATACAATTGTGTTTGGTGTGTTGTGTGCATTGATTGGATAGAAGAATCCACATGGGATAAATGTTTGAAAAAATAAAAACTCATTGTTTTTATTAACTTAAAATCTCATTTGGACACACACAGAAAATTGCTCTAATTTAAGGCCAGAAAATATCCTCTTCTTTTCTATTTTAAACACTGTTTATAAGCTATTAAAACAAGTTTTAAGCCTCTAGAACCAACACCAACACACTAGAAGTGCTGAGGTGAAGAAGGAGAGATAACTTTTTATTTTAGCTACCCAACATCTACAGTTGTGCCTTCAAGTAGATATCATCTGGCGCACTTGACAAATCAAAATGGCAGCCTAGTTATGAAAATGTAGCATAGTTAGCAACTATCTAACCAGAGAGACACAAGCAAATTTAAAATACATTCTCCTAAAAACTAAAATTTCTTTTAAAATATCTTTATTTAGTGAGTCCCTTCTTTGGCAAAAAAAATAATAATATATATAATAAATTCCAAGCCCTATAAGTGTCAGCCTTTATATATGCTAGATACTTTGAAGCCTGAAACAGGACCAAATATCTTGATGTTGTTTTGTTGTTTTATTGACATTTCTGATGTTCAAAAAATAGTGCCAAAATTATTTTTCTTTAATTTTTTAAATTTATTTATAAAATTACAGAAATCACCAGTGTCTTGATGTTGTTCGTTAGTTTTCTTTCTCAGTTCTAGAAATTTCAAAGTTAACCTAGTTCCAAAGTTTACCTGAGATCTTTATTTCTTAAAAAAAAATAATTTAGCACACATTTTTAACTATAACCAACAATGGATAACAGATCCAGTTTAGAATTTTAAGGCAGGGAGAAGTTTGAAGCACTTGTTTTGAAGTCAAACCTGCTGTATGAGGGAATTTTTAAAATTTGCAGCTTATGGAAGCAAATAATCACAATTGATGAAAAAAATAGCAAAAATATACTAGCACACTATCATTTTTAAAGTATTATCCTAGTATCTTTCACTTAGGTACAATTTCATCAGTTTATTTAAAAATCATTTCTTTTACCCTGTGCTTGAAAAATGTTTCGAATTTAAAAAGCTTAAATATTCTTACTAAAGCAAAGCTTTTAAAAATCTTTTCATTGATTGGGTTAGTTTTTTTTTTTAAATTTTTTTTTTAAAGAAATTTCCCTCAAATAGAGTTAGGGTCAGCTTATTTTATTTTTCTTTTTTGTTTTGTTTTTAAGTTTCCCTGAAGTAGAGTTCTTCAGAGGCCCAGAGCTGTACGAGATGATGAACGATATTCTCTTTTGCTATAGCCGCGAGCTAGCCCAACATTCATACAAGCAGGTTTGTGCTTCCTATGGCCTGGGGTTTGGTGCTTCCTCCATCTGTTCAACCACTGCACCTGGGTGCTTCCCTTACCTGTTTTTATACTGTTCTACCTGTAACACTGCACCTGGGTGCTTTGCTCACCTGTATTAACACAGCTGACCCTCTAACACCAGCACTTGTTTTAATACTTATGTACCTGAAACATTCACCTAGGTGCTTGACTAACCTGTTTTAATACTGCTAAACCTGTAACACTACACATATGTGCTTCCCTCTCCTGTTTTAATACTGCTTAACCTGTAACACTGCACATAAGTTATCTAGAATAAGTAGAACTATGAGTAATAACATACATGGACATAATTAATAACAAAAAATTTCTCATCATTGATCATAGATTAACTCAACTATGATCTACTTAAAAATCTTAATTAACACAAATAAAAAAATATCTATTTAATATTTTTCTTTCAATTTTTCAATGAAATCATTAAAAATTGTCAGTTAAAATACTAATCTCAATACTACCCACTAGAAATACTATACTGGATATATAGCAGAAAAATGTGTTCACAAAACACATTGTAACAGATGTTAATCTTTTGTTAAAGTTTTAACACAAAAGTTATAACTTTTTTGTTCTCAATTGGTATCCTTGAAGAGTTAATCCAACCAAGTCTATATCTTTATCCAGATTTGGTCATTGTCTTCAGGCAACATCTGGCAACTCAAGTATTCTCTCTTATCTTAATCCTTTTCTCTGCCGTATTTCATTCACTCTATAAATTGCAACATAATCAATAGACATTTGAAGAAAAAAAAAATCTATAACTTGAAATACATGTAAGATTATTAACAGGCGCTTTTTGATTATTATTTTAAAAAACATAATTATTGCTTGGTATTTTTATTTGGTTCATGTTTTACAATGTTGAACCTGCTTCTGTGCTCAGCTTTGCTTAACATTACATTCAAGCTATTGTTTTACTTATAGATCATGTTATTCATATATCATCCTTGTTCTCTTATACCTAGTTTACCTTGTATGTCAAACTATCCAACTACTCTCACACACCCTGCCACTGTGTAACTCTTTCAGTTTGGTTACAGGTTAAATAAACCGGGAGTGATCTCCCCTAAACTTTCTCGAATATTCTTATATAAAATAACAGGGGATGGAAACTCGGGCTATAGACATGATTTTTAATCCATTTTAAATACTTAAAGTTTTAAAAATAGAATAAAATCTCGTAGACAAATTAATTGCACACCAAGTGAACGCAAATAAAAAAAGCGCATAATAGTGCGCAATATTATTAGTACTTTTAAAATTTACATTAGTTTTTTGAGAAATCGGAAGTAGCGTAAATTACTACTTCCAGTCAACGGAAATTACTCAAAATTTAACAGAAGGTAGAGAATTAGATCTTTTACTTACATGTGAAATTTCATTTATCTATCTGAAATAGTACTCAAGTTATAGGCTTTTAAAAAATTCAAAGTAGGAAAAGTACCACTTCCGGTTATCGGAAATCGCTCAAAAGTTGATACGGATCTACGATTTTGATAAAATACTTATATATGAAATTTCATCAACCTAGCTGTAACGGTACTCAAGTTATCGTGTTTACACACGGACACACACACAGACAGACACACACACACACACAGACATACGGACAAGATTGCAAAATTATGTTTTTCCGTATCAGTGAGGTGTAAAACGTCGAGATTTGTAAAAATCTCGATTTTTTTTTTTTGCACGATTACAATACTTTCTCTATACTTCGTATATACGAGAAAGTAAAAATTACATTCTTTCCAAATAAGGGGAGAAAACTCTGTTTTAAAATATTTAAAACCTCTAACTACACAATTTTTAAAGATGGATAAGTGTAATATTTAAAATACTATAAATTTTTAAAATAATAATTCAATCACATTAACTTGATAAAATAATTATGTTACTCTAATAATATTATAAACTAATTTTCCTTAAAACAGAAAACAACGCCATCACTTTTTGAATAATAATTTGTACTAAATAAAATTTAAGCTCATAAATTTTGTTAACTTTACAGTAGTCTCGCTTTGTTTAATAATCTAGCTTAAATTACAAACCACCTTTTTGCTTACAATTTGGTTTATACATAGCTGTTTACTTATGAGCTTAAATCATGGCTACATGTATTTTCAATTTTTACAGCTTATGCATTTAATTTGTTTGAGTATTCTTTCTTCCTTGTCTAAATTATATTTAATACTCTGTTTAGTTAGTACACATTACAGCTAAAGATGATGTTTTGTAATAAATGTTACTAATTTTGTATTCATGTCATCATACAACATGGTTAGTTGAGGTTTACTTTTAAACTGTTAAAACTATCTACTGTTTAAAAAATATTAAATGTAGTTTGTAGTAGATTTGACATCGGAATATTTTTATAGAAAGTTAATATTTTTCACTGTAAAATATTTTTTCAAAATTTCTTCATTCTAATTAGACAAAGGGTGTTTAATTGTTAAGAAATGGAATAAAAATAATTAAAAATATAAACAATTATTTATTCTTCCTTTTTTTTAGCAAGCTTAATGTTAAATAATAGTTTAAGTGTACATAATTATTTAATCTGGTAAGATTTAGCAATATTTAAAATATTGTAATTATTTTTTTTTTTACAATTATAGGTGCCATCTAAGGCTTTTTTTTTTGCTTTCATTTTTTACAATCTATTTAGTCAATCTATTTAGTTAGATATCTTGGCTAATTAATTTATCTTTGATAAGTACAAACACATTTATTTAATGAATCAAACTTGTAATAGAAATGCTTCAAGAAAGTACTAAATGAAATAAAAAGCAATACTTTAAAAAAATTAATGGTTATTTTATATCAATAAAATAATTTAATTTCAAATGTAATGTAGATGTCATAATTAGTTTTTATAAACATTAAAATCTATATAACTAGTTGTAAAAATTAAAAATTATTTATTTTTGGCAATAACAAATTGTAGTAAGAAATGTATAACTTTTCATCTTTATTAAACATAACTTACTTATTTTCGTGAAGCCTTGTCAAAGTTTTTTAAATGAACTTATTTTTCTTATCTCCCCCACAGGGCATGCATGAGTTATTAGCTCCGCTGATATTTGTCCTGCACTGTGATCACCAGGCATTTCTTCATGCCTGTGAGATAGAATCTGTACTGTAAGTAACACTTTTTATCTGTTGTTGAGTATTTTGTGCTTTAGAATCTGTACTGTAAATAGCTCTTTTGTTAGTTGTGTAAAATAGAATCTGTACTGTAAATAGCACTTTTTGTTAGTTGTGTGAGATAGAATCTGTACTGTAAGTAGCACTGTTTATCTATTGTTGAGTATATTGTGCAATAGAATCTGTACTGTAAATAGCACTTTTTGTTAGTTTTGTGAAATAACATCTGTACTGTAAATAGCACTTTTTGTTAGTTGTGTGAGATAGAATCTGTACTGTAAATAGCATTTTTTGTTAGTTGTGTGAAATAGAATCTGTCCTGGAAATAAAATTTTTTAATTTTACTTATTGTCTTGTGTATTGTGAAATAGAAGTAGCATTTTTTATTTGTTGTATGAAACAGTCTGTACTTTAAGAAGCAGTTTAAAAAATATATACTCTTGTTTATTGTGAAATGTAATCCTTACTGTAAGTAGCGCACCATGATTTGTTGTATCTATTTTCTGGTAGTCTACATATTTTCATCCTCTTATGGTTTCCATCTTGTATCTAAACGTTGTATCAATCAGTGGACCAAATAGCTCGTACTAAAAACTATTGAAAATAAAAGTTTAAAAATATGTCTTTGAAAAACATATGCTCTGATCATGAGCATTTTACATTTCTGCCTTATTTTCTGTTTTAAAATGACTTGATTACACTTATTGTTGTATATTTCTGCCTTGTTATAAAAACGTTTTTAATTTTTAAATAACTTTAGTATTTCTGTTATGTTTTCAATAAAGAAATATTGTTCTATTTCTATTTATAAAATAATAAGATGGAACTAACTGTTGTATTTCCTATCAGCTGTCAGCAAGAGTAAGTCGTTAATTATGTCTTTAAATTTTTACAAGATCAGCTTTATTGTCACATTCCTTTACACTAGTGCTCACCTAGTAGCGTACCTAATATATGATTTAAAAAAAAAATGTTTTTTTAGCTCTCCCTGACTATTGTCAGACAAGCAAATATAATAATTCTCTGTATTATGTTTTCCTCTTCTGTCTTCTGTTCCCTGATTCTGTCCCCTGATTATGTCCCCTGATTATGTCCCCTGATGCTGTCCTTGATTGTGTCCCCTGATGCTATTTACTGATTATGTCCCCTGATGCAGTCCCCAATGATATCCCTGATGCTGTTCACTGATTATGTACTATGATGCTATTCATTGATTAGGTCCCCTGATATCTGTGCTGTTATTCACTGATTATGTCCCCTGATGTTGTCCATTGATTGTGTCCCCTGATGCTATTAACTGTGGATGTCCCCTTATATCCCTGATGCTGTTCACACCCCCCCCCCCCTTCCCCCATACAGTTCACTGATGTTCCATAATGCCTAGCCATCCAATAACTAACTGCAACAAGCAACTCTCTTCAACCATGTGATAAACAACTCAACCCACTTCCTCTGGCAATCAATAACATACATAGCCCACAGTAATAAATTATCTCTTTAATTAAGTCCATTAATTTGAACCATACCATGATTGCCATTTTATTTTTTTTCTCATTCAGCTTTCTATAAATGTACACCTGCAGAAACAATAATGATCATGTGATAAGGTCACCTGACACAAAGGTCATTTGACTCAGACCCTCAGATATATTTTATATCTCATATTGTCTTGTAGTGTTTTGCAGAAGAATGCCTTCAACACTGTGTATTCATTTATTGTTTTCAATTATAGATATGGATTACTCTGCTTCTTTAACGGTTATTTATTAACTCCCTTTCCAGCCTCTTTATCTGTTATTTATTATCCCACTATCCAGTAACACAAAGACCAGGCTAAACATACTCAATTATACATTCCAGCCCAGAGTTATTTTCTCTTGTCTTGTGATTTATTGTCTTTTCCTGATATAGCTCTTGTTTTCCAGAAAATGCTAGCTGTTTGAATGCTACAAAAAATGATTTTTTTTTTCCTTCTATTTATTTTGTTTCACTTCATATTAGTTATGTGAATAAGCAGGTGAATAGATTTCTATAAAGATATTATTCAATGTTTAAACAAGTTTATTTCTACCTTACCATGACTGTCTTTTAGTTTGTATCTATCTAGGAAATGATTTTGTGAATTTTTAATTAAGAGTTTGCAGGACTTTTGTATTTTTTTTTTAAAACATCATTGACACAGTCACAGTATATATATGGAAAACAAAGTCTTTAATCTTTCAAACATAGTGAGTAGTTACATAGTGAGTAGTTATTAAGCGTTTGCAGTTGCTGTGTATTGAAAAAAAACATCTTTGACCCCAGCCCAGTATATTTATGGAAAACAGACATTTTCCTACTATATAAAACTATAAAAAACTACAATTTTTCAAACTATTGCTAAAAGATTAATAAAAAAACAAAATTCTTAGCTTTTAAGCAAAGAAAATGGAAGCATATTTACTTTCTCGTATAGAGAAAGTCTTGTAATCGTGCAAAAAAAAAAAATAGAGATTTTTACAAATCTCGACGTTTCACACCTCACTGATACGGAAAAACATAATTTTGCAATCTTGTCCGTATGTCTGTGTGTCTGTCTGTGTGTAAACATGATAACTTGAGTACCGTTACAGCGAGGTTGATGAAATTTCATATATAAGTATTATATCAAAATCGTAGATACTGATCAACTTTTGAGCGATTTCTGATAACCGGAAGTGGTACTTTTTCTACTTTAAATTTTTCAAAAGCCTATAACTTGAGTACTATTTCAGATAGATAAATGAAATTTCACACTTAAGTTAAAGATCTAATTCTCTACCTTCTTTCAAATTTTGAGTAATTGCTGTTGATCGGAAGTACTAATTAACGCTATTTCCGATTTCTCAAAAAACACATGTAAATTTATAAAGTACTAATAATATCCCGCACTTTTATGCACATTTTATTAGGCGTTCACTTGGTGTGGGACGGAGTGGTCTAGCGGTAGAGAGCTGGACTGCTAACCCATTAGTCTTGAGTTTGAATCCGGGTTCAAGTCAGTAGACCGTCCCTGAGTCCACCCAACTCTGATGGGTACCTAACTCCTGTTAGGGAAAGTAAAGGCGGCTGGGCATAGTGCCGACCACACTATCTCTTCATATGCCGTGGTCACAGAAACAAGTGAACTCTACTTCACTTGCCCCATAGACCGTCAGGTTTGAAAGGGAAACTTTTCACTTGGTGTGCAATTCTTTTTTTTACGAGATTCTATTATTATAAAAAGTTTAAGTAATTAAAAATGGATAACAAATATTGTCTATGTCCTGAGTTGCCAACCCTCGTAATTTTATATTAGAATATTCGAGAAAGTTTAGGGGAGATCACTCCCGGTTTATTTTTAACTATTCTCATTTGTGCTTATGAAATCATCTTGTAAAAAAAAATATTTTATTTCAGTAAGAAACAAACAGATCTCCTCAATCCTGTTTTATGCAAGACTCTTGAACAACTAGAATAATTAAAACTTGCTATGTTTATTAAACTTCAAATTAAACTTACTTTTTTCAGTTACTGTACACAAAACACCAGGTCAGAAATAATTTGTCATCACTTTAGTTCTAAAGTTTATTTTTTAACTTATATTTTTTCTGACTGCCTCTAGCTTTGGGAGTGAGAATCTTCTGTTCTCAAAGATTTTTTAGTCTTCAAATATTTCTTTGTAATGCTTAGTTTTTTTAAAATTCACATTTATATAACCAGATTTTAAAAATATTTTGTAGAAAATTAAATCACATATTGGAATATATGCCTGTAACATATTTGTGAATCATTTGTTTGTTGAGTACATCAGTCATAGCAGTACAAAAATGTCACTTTTAAAATGTTAAAACTTAAGGACATTAACTTAACTTAAGGACATTAAAACTTAAGGACATTATTATAACAAACTAATCATATAAAAAAATCAAAGTCTATTATTTTATTTTTTTACAATATGTATATTTAAAAGTAACTACCCTACACCCATTATCAATATTTATCACTATTAATTTAAAAAAAAAACGTCAGTGTTTTCAGAAATTATTCTTGAGCACTCCTCTTAAATCACGGGTCCCTGGAGTTCCTTCTGTCTTAAGTCCAGCCTGGTGATCAGTCATGCGTGTCTCGTAACAGCTGTTTTATATCTCTACACATAGTGCTGTTACTGCTTCAGCTTGACAAGGAAATTAACCCTGCTTGATCTAACTCACTTCCTCTGTCACTACAAAATTTTGTATGCTAAATGCATTCAGTTAATTATCTCTTCTAGAATAGAGCTTATTATTCTTACCTGTATTTTTTATTTTAAATTTTTATTTAAATTTGATTTTAAAATATAAAATCAGTTTTAATTATGTGTAGACTACACTTTCAGCAAAACAAATTCAATTTTTTTTTCATTTAAATGTATTGCTAAAAATAAATATAATTATATTGAGTTTTAAAGTCATGTTGGTTTTCATTATGGTTTGTCCCATGCTTTTTCAAATTCCAGCTTTTTAAAGAATTGATTTGAATTTACATATCAGGTGAATGTATTGCAGTAGTTTAGCTTGCTTCCTGCCTTGACAGAACTGATATATCATTCTCTGTGACCTGTAGTTTGTTTAACGCTGTTTCTTATTCTTTCTTATAATTTTGAAATGTATTATTTCAAAGTATGTGTCTTGATATGCAATATTCAATATGTGTTCTTGATTTAAAGATTTTTATTTTCATCCCATGAATTGTTAGTATATGACATGCAATTTGAACCAATTCATACTCTCTACCTACTTCTGTCTAAATTAAAAAGCCAAATGCCACGGTTTCCCCTTCCCCCCATCTAAAATAACAGAAGTTATAAACAAAATCACCCTTGACCTTAAGTTTGAAAAAGTTACTTATAAACAAAATGAACATTATTTAACACAGAATCATTTTGTCCTTTACAAATACAAAATGAATGTTAGGTCACATTTCTTTAACTCTCCAACCTGTAGCATTTGGTCACTGAATTCCCTTTCTCTCTTTGTGTAAAATGCTATTCGTTTTTCTTCCTCAACCCCAAACACAGCTAAAGTATTCAAAAACCAGGAATCTTATCTGATTGCCTAAGTGCAATAAATTTTCAAGCTTGCTAGAGTACATATAACAAATATCTTTTAAATTTCAGTATTTTAAATCTTTAGTATTTATTAATATACACAAAAAATGTTTGATTCCATTTATTCACACCGTATTCCAGAGATGCCTCTTTATGCTTCGCACACATGTGTGAGGAAATACCAACAGGATTTTAATTTATTTGTCCTCCACAAATGGGACAGTGTGGTTGAATGGTAGAGCTTACAACTCTGTTACCATAACTGTTTTAAAAGAAATTTATTATTATCAACCTGAAAGTCTTGAGTTTGTATCCTGGGCTTGAATCTGTAGGACTTGCCCGAGTCTATTCAGGTAAGATGGGTACCTGACACACATTAAGAAAACAAAGGCGACTAGGCATAGTGCTGACCCCATTCCTGTTGTATGCCAAGGCCATTGTTACAGATGAACTCTACTTCATCTGCCCGTATGTCTTGGTGGCGACTGGAAAAAAGATATGATCACATGTATATGTCATGTTATCAGATAATACTTTTACAGTTATATTCAAATTTTTCTTTCTTTAAAATATTGCTCTGATGATATATGCCATAACACATTTATCTCATCAGTTGTATGTTTTTGTTACAGGGACATTATGAAAGAGGTAATGGACCCAGCGTTCTTGGAACATGATGCTTAGTAAGTTTTGTATAGTCAGGATTGTTCCAGTAAGTTTTGTATAGTCAGGATTGTCCCCATTAAGTTTTCTATAGTCAGGATTGTCCCCAGTAAGTTGTGTATAATCAGGATTGTCACTAGTAAGTTTTGTATAGTCAGGATTGTCCCCAGTAAGTTTTGTATAGTCAGGATTGTCCCAGTAAGTTTTGTGTAGTCAGGATTGTCCCCAGTAATTTTTGTATAGTCAGGATTGTCCCCAGTAAGTTTTGTATAGTCAGGATTGTCCCCAGTAAGTTTTGTATAGTCAGGATTGTCCCCAGTAATTTTTGTATAGTCAGGATTGTCCCCAGTAAGTTTTGTATAGTCAGGATTGTCCCCAGTAAGTTTTGTATAGTCAGGATTGTCCCCAGTAAGTTTTGTATAGTCAGGATTGTCCCCAGTAAGTTATGTATAGTCAGGATTGTCCCCAGTAAGTTATGTATAGTCAGGATTGTCCCCAGTAAGCTATGTATAGTCAGGATTGTCCCCAGTAATTTTTGTATAGTCAGGATTGGTTATTTGTGAACTGTATAGATAGATGCCTTTCTTAGCCCCTTATAAGCAATGAAGTGGTCCTTCTGTTATACTGTTCCCTGATCTGTAATTTTAAACAGTTAGGTGAATGACCTTGACCCACTTGTAAATTACACCCAGAGAAATAATGAACTGGTATGTGAGTCAGCAAGGGGACATAATTATGCTGGATCACCATTGAGTTATTCATGCTGTGTAACATGTGGTTATGAGCCATGTTTTTTGTGTGCTCTAATTACTTGTCTGTTTTATGTTAGTTTAATGCAACTGTCTGCATAAAACAGACATTGAGATCATTAAATAAAGGCATGGCTTCTTCACATAAAAGGGAAGGGGGGGGGGGGGGTTAGGGGTGCAGAGTCATGTTGTGACTCATTTCTAATTAAGCTATCAAATAGTAGTGTTACAAATAAGGTGTTTTGCTTCCTTTTTGAGTAATTTGTTTTTATTTAATGTTTTTGTAGCCATATTTCTGCAAATATTTTTTGAGTCATTTTTAAAATCACCATGTATCAAGATTGGTTTCCTTTTTTTTCCAAAATCATAATTTTCTTTGTTTATGAATTGGAAGGGGTGGAGGGAGGGAGAAAGGGTGTAATGCTGATTTTTTTTTTTTCAAAACGAGTACTTTTTAAACTTATCCACATTGGTATTGTTTTTATTTTATCAGCACCATGTTCTGACATATTTTTTTTTTATCAGCACCATGTTCTGTCAAGTGATGGAGACAGTGGAGCCTTGGTACCTGTCTAGGGATATTTTCTACAACAATCCTAAGGTTTCTTTCTTTGTTCATTTATTGACAAAGCTTTATCAAACAGCCAAACCCAACCCATACAGACATACACTCAAGTGTACCTGGTGTTTACATAACTTCCATTACTTAAAATCAATAACTTTTGGTTAAGAAAATTAACGCCTTAGAGCAGTGGTTCTTAACCTGTGTTCGATATAACCCCAAGGGAGCAGTAAGTTGGTCTCAGGGGTTCGGCAGAGGTCAAGACACACGCCGGACTTATATGATTCACAATTGGATTTTGTCAGTGCTGTTGACAAAACCATTAAGAAAAGTTCAGTGAATGCGCACATGTAACTGGCGAGGTTGCATATCTCCAAAAGCCACTGCTTTAGAGATATAAATTGGAAGTGTTTTTACAGTTTGAGGATCTGGGTTTAAGGTAAAAATTATAGTTTGGGTTGTAGTCAGGAGTAGGTAGGAAAACATACTCTAATCAAAGATTGTGGGACAGAATGGTTGGATGAAAGAGCATATGGCTGCCAACCTTAAAGTCTCGAGTTCAAAACCAGGGTTTGTATCAGTAGAATGTCAGTGAATCCACCCAGCTCTGATGGGTACGTGACTCAGGTTAGGAAAAATAAAGGTGACTGGGCATAGTGCTGACCATATTATCTCTTTATATGCCGATGTCACAGTGACACATGATCTCTACTTCACTTGCCCCATGTACCATCAGGAACTTAACTTACTAACTTTTATAAGAGATAGATTCCAGACATGCATGTATCATGCTGGTTAATTGAATCCATCCCTAGGCAATAAAGCCCATAAACATATCTATATCTACTTCTCTATGCGTAGCTCACAGCCACATAATTTTATCAGTAATTTGGTGTATTTGTTTTATGTATTAAATCCAGCTTTTTTCTCCACATACAGACTGGGTCAATGCGGAGCTTAGAAATCATCAACGCCACACCTTTCTCAAGATCTCAGGATTTGAACCCCTCTAGCGCCATCGTGACCAAACTGACCCGGATTCAGGACTACATTCTAAAGAAATACGACCCTGAACTTCACCAGCACCTAGAGAGGCTGGAGATAGCACCACAGATCTACGGCATGTAAGTTAACCAGATCACTCACAGATCTATGGCATGTAAGTTAACCAGATCACTCACTCACAGATCTATGGCATGTAAGTTAACCAGATCACTCACAGATCTATGGCATGTAAGTTAACCAGATCACTCACAGATCTATGGCATGTAAGTTAACCTGTTAAGTCTCAGATCTATGGCATGTAAGTTAACCAGATCACTCACTCACAGATCTATGGCATGTAAGTTAACCTGTTAAGTCTCAGATCTATGGCATGTAAGTTAACCAGATCACTCACTCACAGATCTATGGCATGTAAGTTAACCAGATCACTCACAGATCTATGGCATGTAAGTTAACCAGATCACTCACAGATCTATGGCATGTAAGTTAACCAGATCACTCACATATCTATGGCATGTAAGTTAACCAGATCACTCACAGATCTATGGCATGTAAGTTAACCAGATCACACACAGATCTATGGCATGTAAGTTAACCAGATCACACACAGATCTATGGCATGTAAGTTAACCAGATCACTCACTCACAGATCTATGGCATGTAAGTTAACCAGTTCACACACAGATCTATGGCATGTAAGTTAACCAGATCACTCACAGATCTATGGCATGTAAGTTAACCAGATCACTCACAGATCTATGGCATGTAAGTTAACCAGATCACTCACATATCTATGGCATGTAAGTTAACCAGATCACTCACTCACAGATCTATGGCATGTAAGTTAACCAGATCACTCACAGATCTATGGCATGTAAGTTAACCAGATCACTCACAGATCTATGGCATGTAAGTTAACCTGTTAAGTGACAGATCTATGGCATGTAAGTTAACCTGTTAAGTCACAGATCTACTGCATGTAAGTTAACTTGTTAAGTCACAGATCTATGGCATGTAAGTTAACCAGATCACTCACAGATCTATGGCATGTAAGTTAACCAGATCACTCACAGATCTATGTCATGTAAGTTAACCAGATCACTCACAGATCTATAGCATGTAAGTTAACCAGATCACTCACTCACAGATCTATGGCATGTAAGTTAACCAGATCACTCACAGATCTATGGCATGTAAGTTAACCAGATCACTCACAGATCTATAGCATGTAAGTTAACCAGATCACTCACTCACAGATCTATGGCATGTAAGTTAACCAGATCACTCACAGATCTATAGCATGTAAGTTAACCAGATCACTCACAGATCTATGGCATGTAAGTTAACCAGATCACTCACAGATCTATGGCATGTAAGTTAACCAGATCACTCACAGATCTATGGCATGTAAGTTAACCAGATCACTCACAGATCTATGGCATGTAAGTTAACCAGATCACTCACAGATCTATGGCATGTAAGTTAACCAGATCACTCACTCACAGATCTATGGCATGTAAGTTAACCAGATCACTCACTCACAGATCTATGGCATGTAAGTTAACCAGATCACTCACTCACATATCTATGGCATATAAGTTAACCAGATCACTCACATATCTATGGCATGTAAGTTAACCAGATCACTCACATATCTATGGCATGTAAGTTAACCGGCTGTAACATTACTGAAACAATTTTACTGCCAATGAGCAGTACTTTCATAGCCAGACTTCAGTTTGGGACAGGGCCAGAGCTAGGGGTACGGTCCAAAATAAAAATTCACTGTTGTTTAGGGACTTGGCATGGGTTAGTTTAAATATCAGCATTATGTTTAAACTTGTGTGTGTATCAACCTATTCCATTTCATTCCGGGGGTGGGGGGGGGGTGTGTTTCCCTCCTCCCCGAAGAGATGCCTGGAAGAAACTCTCTGGTTATAAGGTGTTTGCTAATTAGTAAATACCAAGGAACTTTAAATGCAGGCTGATTGAAGATAGTTTAAGCCAGATGTTGTGAGTTAATGGAGGATTTGAGGATGTTTGAGCTTATACAGGCTGTTGTAAGATAATGCAGATTATAATAAGATTAGCTTGTGCAGGTTGTTTTAATACTAGCTGATGCCAATTGTTGAAAGTGACCATCTATTTATTTCAGACGCTGGCTGCGGTTATTGTTTGGCCGAGAGTTCCCCATGCAGGACCTCTTGATGTTGTGGGACGCCATCTTTGGTGACGGCATTGGGTTCGACCTGGTGGATTATATCTTTGTCTCGATGCTCCTCTACATCAGAGAGATATGTAAGACATTTTTAAAGTCTTTGTCTCTAAAGACATTTTTTAAAGTCTTTGTCTCGATGCTTCTCTACACCAGAGAGATATGTAAGACATTTTTAAAGTCTTTGTCTCTAAAGACATTTTTTAAAGTATTTGTCTCGATGCTTCTCTACACCAGAGAGATATGTAAGACATTTTTAAAGTCTTTGTCTCGATGCTTCTCTACATCAGAGAAATATGTAAGACATTTTTAAAGTCTTTGTCTCTAAAGACATTTTTTAAAGTCTTTGTCTCGATGCTTCTCTACATCAGAGAGATATGTAAGACATTTTTTAAAGTCTTTGTCTCGATGCTTCTCTACATCAGAGAGATATGTAAGACATTTTTAAAGCATTTGTCTCTAAAGACATTTTTTAAAGTCTTTGTCTCGATGCATCTCTACACCAGAGAGATATGTAAGACATTTTTAAAGTCTTTGTCTCAATAATTCTCTACATCAGAGAGATATGTAAGACATTTTTAAAGTCTTTGTCTCGATGCTTCTCTACACCAGAGAGATATGTAAGACATTTTTAGAGTCTTTGTCTCGATGCTTCTCTACATCAGAGAGATATGTAAGACATTTTTAAAGTCTTTGTCTCAATAATTCTCTACATCAGAGAGATATGTAAGACATTTTTAAAGTCTTTGTCTCGATGCTTCTCTACATCAGAGAGATATGTAAGACATTTTTAAAGTCTTTGTCTCGATGCTTCTCTACACCAGAGAGATATGTAAGACATTTTTAAAGCATTTGTCTCTAAAGACATTTTTTAAAGTCTTTGTCTCGATGCATCTCTACACCAGAGAGATATGTAAGACATTTTTAAAGTCTTTGTCTCAATAATTCTCTACATCAGAGAGATATGTAAGACATTTTTTTAGTCTTTGTCTAAATACTTCTCTACATCAGAGAAATATGTAAGACATTTTTAAAGTCTTTGTCTCGATGCTTCTCTACACCAGAGAGATATGTAAGACAGTTTTTACAGTACTGACCAATGACTATGTTTATTTACAGTACTAATCTATGACTAAGTCTGTTCTATTTAGTGTTGACCAATAACTATGTCTGATTGTTTACAGTTCAAACCAATCACGATGTCTGTAGTTTACAGTGCTAACCAATGACTATGTCTGTTGTTTACAGTTCTAACCAATCACTATGTCTGTTGTTTGCAGTACTGACCAATGACTATGCCCATTATTTACAGTACTGACCAATGACTATGCGACCTGCCTGACGGTGTTGATGAAGTTCCCACCTGTAGCAGACGTCCATTATTTTGTTGTTAAAGCCATCTGGCTGAGAGAGCCTAATGTGAGTTCTTGTATTATAAAACTTGTTTTTTAACCTACCATTGCTCATGGACTATTTGCTATTAATTCAGCAAAGCTTGAAAAAGATTTAAGCCTAACCAAATAAAGAAAAAATTAGCTACATGTGCAAAGTGACTCAAACAGTAATCTTGAAATTATAAAGCAGTCTGTTTGATGCTCTAAATACAGATTTTATACTGTGATCTATTTATGGGTGGTTGTTAAAGGGTTAACCACTTTAGTATTTTTATGTAAGACATAAAGACAATACAGTATTATATTAAGTATTTTAAGGTCAAAGTTATTGTCAAGGTTAGGTATAGAGCCAACCTTTCTCAAATTAGTACAGAATAATGCTGATTTTACATGCTGATTATTGAAATGATTTGACCCCCCCACAGCATCACCCGCGTCCACCCAGCTACACCCACCAGGGCAGTATTCGAACCAGCACCAGCATGGCGGGCAGCACTGACAGCATCAGCAACACCAGCAGCACCCACAAAGACAGCACCACCAGTAAGTCCACTGTGGTCTCAGCTGTTCCACATCCTGTCACGTCCCTGTCCATCTCTCAATCAACTGCCATTGATTTGTTCTTTAATGATGTGTACAGTTACCTCATTGTGCTTCTTGTACTGTGGGGTTTCTGCTCAAACATTTGAACAAAAACATTAGATAAAGTATTTTAGTACACACCAGAGTCAGGAAGTTCCAGAAGGTCTATAGGAATTACTCTGTATACACTTTGAATTTTATAATTATCAATTTAATTTTTTTTTTCAAATTTATTTTCAACGTACTTTAACCAGGAAAAAAAACTTTTTTAATTTAAAAAGTATAAATAGGATTGATCATTCAAATAACATTTTGCCCAGTATTGTGTTGTGTAATCACTTTGCATAACTGGGCTTGAGTGAATGGGATAGAAAAGTTAAATAGCATATGACTGGGCAAGCAAAATAAAGAAGTATGCACACACTACACTGCTGTAAAGGTTAAAAAAAAATGAAACGCTTATTTTTTTATATTATTGAAACAAATGACTATGCTAAATACTATACTTCAGAGAATACTGTCCAATTTAAGTTTTTAAAAAAGTTGCCACTTCACTTCTTAGTTTTTTTTTTCAGCCTGTTCCAAATTTATTTCAGTGTAAACCAATGAATTAACCACCTTATGAGCTATGTAAAACTTGACCTTTGCCCTATTTGCACACAATTTTAGCTGCCCAACCCTCACATAACCAAGGCCAGAAAAGGCAGAATATTTCCATGGGTGGGTTCTCCTCCTTCTCTCGCAAATTCAGCCGCCCACGCACATTGTCCGTACCCAAGTCGTCCAGCGAGCCAATGAACCTGCAGACAGACATGTCGCCTGGTAACTCTTTCTCTCTGGCTGGATGTTGTTTTTATTGTTGTTTAGATGATGACCTCGCCCTGAGCTTGAACTTTATTTTCCGCATGAATTTCTGGTTTTCATTTTAAAAATAGAACGTTTTTACCTCGACTTTTGTTAAAAAAAAATATTTTTAATTAGTTTCTCAAATTTATGTTTTTGTAAAAAAAAAACCCAAAAAAACAAATAGATTTTATTTAGATGTAGAAAAACCTGTATTTTATTATTTATAAATGAAGTGTTTATTCTGTGTTAAAAGTTTTATTTCTTTACTGTTCTTAGTATAATATATACCTTTGTTATAGGTATCTTCCTGCATTTTTTCCTATTATTATTTTATCTTTATGCTGCCCTACTTTTCTCATTGTTTTCTTGTATTTTTCTTATCTTTTAGTTGACTTATCATTACATATATTATCCCACTCCTTTTCCTACATTAATTTAACCATTAATTTTCAGCTGGATCATCTCATCTTTCCTTTAGTTCAAATGCCTGTTTCTTTCATTTTTCTTGTAAATCAAATAATCAAAGGGCAGTAACTATTAAGTGGTAAACATTGCTGACTTTGTGTCAGTCTAACAGGGAGACAATTCAGCCTTGTGAAAAAAAATCTGAGTAACAATAACATCTAAAACCCAATGGGCTGCATGTTGTAGAAATGTATCTATTAAATTCCAGTGTTATATGTGTTAGGTTTATTTTAATGCTTCTAACTGATGTTAGTTTTTGTAATAAAATATCTTAATTTATTTTTAACACCTTATAGTTTGGTTGTAGACACCTAGGTAGCGTATATGTTGCTTGTGATATTATTTGTCATTATTATGTATTGTTGCAAATACTTAACATTAACAATCTGAGTACTACAATTTAAACATGTTTCAGGTTTAATTTTTTTTTAATTGCTTAAGTATTTTAAAAAAGAAATATGTGTGTTGTATTATCATTTAAGATAAAAAATACATTTTTGTTATATATAAATTCAAAATCAGTCTCCTAATTTGAATGTTACCTATGACTTAAGTTAGTGAAATTTTAAAAATTGTATTAATGTAGTAAAATTATGAAAGCATCAATTTTTATTTCAATCAGTTAAAAAAAATATTTTAAGTCAGGATTTATTTGACAATGTTAAACACATATTTAACATAAAATTGGTTAAAATTCTTAAATATAGTATCCTATAAAAAGTTAGTAATCATTTCTTCTTTGAAGAAATCAAGATTATGTATTTGACTAAGAGATGAGGACGACAAAAACTGAACATTGTGCTATCATTCTCCCTCTTGCAGAAACAAGCAACAACCCCATTGGCTCAACAGTCAGTCTATCCCAGGTGGAAGAGTCCATGTTTAGGCACTCGGCTGTGACCTTGTCGCAGGTGGAAGATTCCATGTTCCGCCACTCAGGGAGGATGGAGCCTGGAAATCTGAGATCAGCTCAGTCAAGTCCAGGAGTTCATCACTCCAGTATCTTCCCCCTGACTCCAGGTAAGCTAATCTCTGCAGGATCCATAATTCCAGGTAAGTTAATCTATAAGGGTTGAAACTCTAGGTGAGTTAATCTCTGTAGGAATTAAAACCCAACATATGTTGATTTCACCGGGATACTTAAATTAATCTTACTAGAAACCTTAATTCTAGGTTAAGTTAATCGTAGCAGAAACATGAACTCCATACATATTATTTTAGAAAAACCATAATTCCAGAGTTTTTTTCTATCAAGAACCCTAGGCTAGATAGTTTATTTTTCACCAGAAACCATGTTTCTCCATTAACTGAATTGAATTTAATTTTGATATATTTGTCTGTTGCTAACTGTTGCTAGCATTGTACTCAATGCTGAAACAAGACACTGACCCATAGTTTGTTTACCATCTTTAGATGACCCATCCATCACCAGCAGCCCAGTTTTGCCAGGTAAATCCAAAAGCAAACAGAAGAAATTGACCAAACAGGCAAGTCAAAAAAATAAACTTCAAAATCATTTCTAAACTGATCCTTTTTACTTTAGGCGTAAACCAAAATACATTTAGAGCATTATCGGTAATAAAACAAAGTAGCTAACTGCTTAAAAATGCTTACTTTTTAAAAATAGTATTAACCTTATAAACATCCTTATATAGTCTTCAAAAAGATGTAAAATTCTATAATGTTTTGTTCTTACCCCACACACCACTCCTTACATAAAAATAACCTTAATTTATTTTGTACATGGATTTCAGGAGAAAGATCTAGAAGACAAAGTCATGCATTTACAAGGGGAGCTAAATGATAAAAATTCTATGTGCAGATATTGTGCTAGTAAACTAGACGTTCATATTGGTAGGTTGTTGTCCACAGAGGATTCAGTTCTTTGTTTCATTTCTATGTAAAGACAAGTTTGTAAAGCATGAAATATCAATTTCCTTTATTTTATTTTAATGTTTCATACCTTAGGTCGCCTACAACAAGTTCTTAGTTTGATTTCTATGCAAAGACAAGATTGTAAAACATGAATTACCAATTTCCTTAGTTAATGTGATTTTAATGTTTTTTTTTCTTAGGTCGTCTACAACAAGAACTTTCACGGCAAAATTTTGAAATTGATGACGACATTATGTTATCATTAGCTGGTCTCAAACTGGTGAGTTGTTGAATGGTTGTTGTCTAGTTGCTGGTCTAACGTAACACATCACTCCTCTTCTCTTCATCTCATGGGGTGTAGCATGTTGTTAAGCCCACCCAGCTCTAATGGGTACCTGGCTGAGCCCACCCAGCTCTAATGGGTACCTGACTGAGCCCACCAGCTCTAATGGGTACCTGACTGAGCCCACCCAAATCTAATAGGTACCTGACTGAGTCCACCCAAATCTAATAGGTACCTGACTGAGCCCACCCAGCTCTAACGGGTACCTGACTGAGCCCACCAGCTCTAATGTGTACCTGAGCCCACCCAGCTCTAATGGGTACCTGACTGAGCCCACCAGCTCTAATGGGTACCTGAGCCCACCCAGCTTTAATTGATACCTGACTGAGCCCACCAGCTCTAATGGGTACCTGAGCCCACCCAGCTCTAATGGGTACCTGACTGAGCCCACCAGCTCTAATGGGTACCTGAGCCCACCCAGCTCTAATGGGTACCTGAGCACACCCAGCTCTAATGGGTACCTGAGCCCACCCAGCTCTAATGGGTACCTGAGCCCACCCAGCTCTAATGGGTACCTGAGCCCACCCAGCTCTAATGGGTACCTGACTGAGCCAACCCAGCTCTAATGGGTACCTGACTGAGCCAACCCAGCTCTAATGGGTACCTGACTTAACCTACCCAGCTCTAATGGGTACCTGACTGAGCCCACCCAGCTCTAATGGGTACCTGACTGAGCCCACCCAGCTCTAATGGGTACCTGACTAATTGCTTCATTCTAGCTGGGTTACTAGATTGAGGGGAAGTAAAGATAACTGTATAGTGCATAGTCCTCGTTGCATGAATGATTCTTTGTTAAAATTAAGTTATTAATTGATTATTCATTCTGTTGTAATGATTTTTTTCAAGGTCCGCGACATTTTGAACGGGACGCTGAAGTTTTCTCAAAACATCGCTGCTGATGAGGAGGAGATCCACATCAATGACGACTTCTACAGCAGCCAACCAGAGGACGGTTACAGCTGCAGCACCGGCATCACCTCCCCTGAATCTGACATTCTCCTAGGGGTCACCTCCGGCGCTGATGTTGACCAGAAAGTGGACGGCCGCAGGGCCAGGCTGTTTTACATGAGCAGCGAGGAGGTCAGCTCTCCTGACTCATCCAGTGTTGCAGGTCAGGTGAGAGGGGGCGGGGGTAACGACCTCGGTCAGTTTGGTGACTATGAAGGAAACAAAGTAACCAATCATGAAACCAGAGAGAGACATCACTCGGGGGAAAAAATGACGGCCGCCAACAACTCCACCCTTTTCTCCTCAAAAATCCGAAGTTTTTTTAAATCCGATTCCCCACAGCACCAACCAAAAGAGAAACAAACGGCGCCATCTTCTGGGTCAAGACCATCACAGAATACCACAACAGGGGGACACAGCTTTAAACAGCCAGCCCTGCAGCAGAGCGAGAACCCCTCGACCTTTGACCTGACTCACTCCAATCAGGTTGATAAAGAATTAATTAGCATGGACAACAGACGACGAGCTCAATCAAACCTTGAAACTCAGCAGACGTATTGGCCGGAGTTTGTGTCAGACAGAAGCTCCTCCCAGGGGCAGTCCGCCATGTCCTCCCATGACCCGAGGGATAGCCCGAGGAGACACGGGGAGTACAAGCTCAGGGAGAGATCCAAAAGTCAACCCTCAGCATCCCTAGACCTGTACCACAGGTCGGCAGATGAAGAAGAGTTTGGGGTGAATCCTTTGTACAAACTTCGCTACCACGAAAACATGGAGCATTAAGTTCTGTTAGTGTGGGACTTTTACCAAACATCAAATAAAGATTGAGATAAGTCCCTTATATAAACTTTGCTACCATGAAAATATGGAGAATTAGGGTGTCTTAGTATGGACCTCTACCAAACAGCATATAAAGATAAAAATTCCTTGTACAAGCTTGGCTATCTTGAAAACTTCAAGTGTGATAATGTGGACCATTACCCAACATTAAAGGAACATTGTGATAAATCCCTTTCATAAAACTTTCTTCCCACAAAAACATGGAGTGATAGTATGGGCCTCTACCAAGCATCAAATGAAGATATAAATTCCTTGTACAAACTTCACTATCATGAAAACATGGAGCATTAAGTGTGGTAGCAATGACCGCTACTAATTCACCAAATGAAGAAGAATGAGATAAATCCCTTATACAAACTTTGTTATGAAAGTATTCAGTTGCTCAACTGGATTCTACATTGCAGTGTTTATCCTTACATAGATTCTGTTAGTTAAACTAAGGCAGTTTTCTGTTTCAGAACATGAAATCCCCCCCCCCTCCCTTTAAAAAAAATAATTACAATTATAATCACATTTTAAGCAGATGTATTTAATCTTTTAGCATATTCAAGCATTACTTTAACATCAGGTATTTAGCACTGGTATGAAGTTTATGATATAGAATCGTTATTTTTTTAAAACTAAGGTGGAAAAAAAAATTGTATTGTTTAGCATCCATATTGTTTTCTTTGTAGTTGAGAGCTTTGAAGGTGCATTTAATACCAATCTTTCTTCTAGTCCAATCCTTGTGACACCATGATGTTCAAAACTTTCCATATTTTAATATCCATCCTAAGAGTCTAACCATGTGCTGGAGCACAGTTCATGTGCAATAATTATAATCAATGATTAGAGGGTACAGTATAGTAAATCCTCAATGTTTGAACAAAATGGAGGGGTGTGTGCTGAGTCATCATTTTTTTAATGCTGTTATTTTCATCTCATGTTTAAACACACCCAATCTTACTTTTTAAAATAATTTTTGTCCATGAAACAGTCCCAACGTGGATTACCAATCAAGAATTAGGTTAAGTTTTTACAGAAAAAAGTACAAATAACTAAGGTTTTAATCTAAAATAAAATTAAGCTAAAGCAGAAGCTAGTAAAGGTGGAAGGAGGGGTATCTCTATTTAACCATGACATGTGTATATTAATTTTGACATTGGTAAAGATAATTCAATGGATGTGTTTTAGTTTCATTTGGCCAATTGAGCACAGCTTTTTAATTTCTTATTCTGTAAATTACTTTGTTGGTATAAATTACCCGTTATTACAAAATTATATGTGATACAAAAAAAGCTGTATATAAATATTTTGTTAATTTTTCTTTTTTTAGTGGATACAAATTCTACTTTGCTCTGTACATTGTTGAAACTAATTCTTCTTTTTAGCAAAAAAATAATTAAATTAATTTCCTGTTTGTATTATTTTTGTTTGGCTTTTTTCTAAAAAAGTGATTTCGGCTTGTATTTGAAAATCTATTTTTGCAAGAAATATATGTAGACTTTTAAAAATAGAAACAATTCCAACCCATAAATTTAGGAATTAAATTCTAAAATTTATAGTGCAAATTTTAAAATCTTCAGAACTTAAATCAGTTAATTTTTTGTTAAATAAGCAGTGACTTCTGTATGTTATATAAACTACTTATTTTATTAGCAAGCCTATTTTTGCTTAGAGTTATCTGCTCTTGTTGTCTGGAAAAAATACAGGAGAAAATCATTAATAATTCTAGAGCCCTATATAAATTAATTCAAATAAATATATTTAGGGCCTATAATTAACAGATAGATATATACATAGATATTAAAAAGTTTTAGTTTTATTTATATTTTATTGTTATAGGCTTACATAATTTTATTTTTTAAAAAGAGGAATTTTTTTTTAAAATCCTGACAGCGCAGGTCTACTTAAGAATTCAAAATAATTTAACACCTTGCCTGAGTGCTGGTATGTTTGTATTTAACAGTTTTTCCCAGAGATCTGCTGAATATCAAATTCTAAACAAATAATATAAACTGGGATTCACCTCAAGTGTACAGAATCTGTTGCTCATGTGTGTGTTGTGTATTTCTCGGATATGTTGTACTGATTCTGTTAATCAAGATATTAAACTAACTTTACGTCTGTGACCAAAACTATGCTAATCCATTTGTGTTATGATGCTGTGCATAATTTAAATTGTAAATACATGAAGACTATTTTCATTAAAGGTTCATTAAATGTTCGTAGCTAGATCAGCTGTTGTGATCATTGTATTTTGTTGCAACTAAATTTTTAAGATATTTTTACATTTCTGAAGTATAAATTAAGTCTTAGTAATTTAGTACCAAAGTCTATTAGTTAAATGATGTTATAGTCTCAGCAATCTAAGTAATTAGTTAAATGAGGTTATTAAGTGTAACAATAGTTTAGATTATTAGTATGAAATTGTTAATATGTGTATCTGCAGGATTTTGATGGTATAGCTATGTTTGCTGTATAAGCACTGTAGCTCTTGTCTGCTATGTACAATGGAAGTTAGTCATTAGGTTAATTATGGTAATTAGTAGATACTATTTAGACAAAGTCCTACATATTTACATGGTAAACTGAACTTTTGATTCACAATAAAAATAATTGTATGTGTACATATATTTTGAAATGTATGGAAAATGTGAAATGAATTATGCCATCCATTTTATTTTTAAAACATTTTCACTGTTTAATAATTTAAAAATTCTATAGGATTTACATTTTTTTCTATTTATTTTTAAATTGTTTCATCATATAATCCTTGCTACATTTTAAAATGTTAGTACTTACTGCAATATGGAACATGTGCTTGCAATTTTAAAAATAATATTTATCTGCGAAAAAACATTCCTGAATAAAAATATTGTTTTTAGAATAAATCTATTGCATGCAGTGTTCCATGTAGGACCTACAGACCTCAAATTTGGGGTTTTTCATTGAACAATTATGCAGATTTACCAACTAAACTTGTATTTTCCTAGATTAGTGCATATTTAATGAAAAGTTAGGGGGGAAAATGTAATGTTGACTATAGAATGATGTGAGAATGATAATCAGATACTCAACAAATATTTTACTCATTTTGTACATAGCTATTAGTTGTAATGAAAACCTCTTTGTTACTGTGATCATTATAATAATTAAAATCAATGTCTTGTGAATGAGATCCACATTATGATGGGTGTCTTGTTTAATTAGAGATTCCCTTAAACATCTTTGTTGCTGTGATCATTATAATAATTAAAATCAATGTCTTGTGAAAGAGATCCTCATTATCATGGGTGTCTTGTTTAATTAGAGATTCCATTTAAACATCTTTGTTGCTGTGATTGTGTCTGGTTGATGTCTAAAATTTTGCACCCGTTAAGGGGGCTATACATTGTTTTGATTTGAAAAAAAAGTTTTTTGTTCTAAAAAAGAAATTTGTTCCTTTTATTGTGTGCATAAAAACTGATATCATACTACATAATTATGATGGGTTTGAGTCAGTCATACCATATTATATGCTGACTTGGTCATGTCTAAAACTAAAAGACAACACTTAAGAAAACAGGTTATGTTAGCCTGTCGCCCCTCCTGGGACATAGGCCGCTTTCCAGGTGCCTCTGTCCTAGACTAGTCTCTCCAACTGTATCTAATCTTCTTGGTGTCTTCTTCCAGGTCACGTCTCCAGGTCTTTCGTTGTACATTAGTAGATGATTTTACTCTACCAGTACCAAAAATATTATTTTCTATACTTGTTCTTTAAATCGAAGGTTCTTTCCATTTTAAGTAGTTCATCAATTAGCCAAAAAAAAAAAAAAAAAAAAAAAAAATCACCAAACAAACAAAAATAAACATTGCATAAGTAGCGAGAAAACATTTCCATTTTGGTAATATCTTTTAATAGTTCAGAACTTGTCCGAGCGTACATGTCACTACAACTATCTGACTAGTTTTATCTGGCAGACTTCTAACCTTCCCATCCTACCATTCAATGTTACAGCCAGATCAAAGTCATGTTTTAAGTCATACATAACATTGACAAGTCAACAAAGTCATGTTTTGTGTCATACAAGACCTTGACAAACCAACGTATACGGCTGTCAGGCTTGGCTTAACAACACTAACTACGTAATCTCACAAAAGTAATTTTTCCTTCATAATTGAGTTGAAATGGAATAAAATACACACAAGTTCTAACAGATAAGGAATAAGAAGGGAGAAAAAAATACAACAGAAATCTTGCAAAAAATTAATTCAATACGGCAAAAGAAAACACGACCTAATACGTGACTATGGGACTTCTAAACACTTTATAGAAGAATATATTAACAAGGAAGGTGTGCAGTCTAGTTCTCTAGCATGCTGGTTCCAGGTACTCAAATATGAAATGAAATAGACCTTTCTATAAGGTTTATACTCTCAACTATTCACTTGGATATAATTCTATTTAGGTTAACGTTAATTATTAGCAGTCTCATTCATAAATAATCTATCCTATTTTTCTGGCATATAAAGGACTATAAAAAATTCAAGAAAATCTTAAAAGTCAGGGATTGTCTTATACATTATGTGTTATAGGGTAATTATATTGCAAGCTAGTTTATTTTGGAAAAGTTGGATAGGGTGGGGTCTTCATGCCCTGTCCCCCCCCCCCCCCCCACCTGTCTTATATGCCAGAAAATATGGTATTATCTGCATGGATCCACTTGGTCATAAGATCCTTAAGGTTTTAACTTAATTATATAAGAACTTGATATAAATACATAAGAGAAGTGACAAGCTTGGTAAAGAAAAAAAGGACAATGTCTACAAAATATATTTTGAATATTGAAGCAGTGCTCATGCAGTAGATTTAATATAATTGTTAAGAATACCAAGTGTTGTGGCAACACCTGCGAAAACATAACACAGCAAACTAGTTAGATGGGAGCAAAAATAATACACTGTAAATGGTAGAGAAAAATGTGAAAACCTTCATTTAAACACATCTAAGAGTAATTCAGCTCAAAAAAATAAAAGAATATTCCTGAAAAAATAACAGATCATCTCCGCAAGCACATTTCATCAGAAATCCTGTGTTAGTTTTCTTCATGTTTAGCTTACATACATTATTGCAAGTACATGTTATTACCAGTTTGATTTGGTGGTACAATTCTGGTTATATTTTACACAAAATTATTACAAGATAGTCAAAATGTAAAAAAAAAAAAATTCTAATAATAAAAAAAATAGAATTCTACTTTCAATAGAATGTGGAGTTGTGGTTTTGATTTTTGTAACACAAAAAAAGAATACTGAGCATAAAAAATAACAAAGTTTGATTTTGCTTTTAAATCAGCTAAAAAGTTTGATTCCTTCTTTTAAGTCTTCAAGTTAAAATAACAAGATAAGATAAAATACACAGTAAAATGACTTTTATGCTATCAGATTTCTCAACAAAATTTAACATATATCTTACTTGAAATAAATTTAATCTCATCAACTCAATCTTTCAAAATAAATGAAAATAAAAGAATTATAATGGAAAAAGGAACTGTTGGGTTTGCAATACACCAATTTTAAATGTTGGCTTGAAATCTCTAGGGATATAATTATAAACTAGTCTTCATTGTGCACCCACCAAACAGAAATTATTGATCATAAATCTATCTCAAATTCGCATCTGCTCATTAAAAATTAAAATATACAACATATTAAAAACAGTAATTTCTTAGAATTAAATGACATTTAAGTTATAAAATTTAAAACTAGCCAAGTCCCTTAGCATACAAAACATTTTTGGTTCTTATGTTATAGTTAAAAAGCTTCTAATAATTACTTTAAAAAATGTTTCTTTTCATTAAAACTTATGAAATGTGTATTTTTTTAAAAGCCTTCACATTTCCTTATCATTAAATAAACCAAGGCAATATCAACTACTTTTCAAATCAGTACAAATGCCAATATCAGAAGAAAAAAAGTTTAAATAAAAATCTGAATTCAAAAACAAAATTCAGATGTTTCTTTAAAAAAAAAGATTAAAACCAAAAAAGAAAAAAATATATATCACAAGGTTTAAGTAGTTCTTCTTAAATTATAAAATAATACTCTCTATAACTGATATACAGAACATGATTGCTTCCATTTATACATACAATAAGATTCTCGTGAAAAAAAAATAATGGGTACATCGTTGTGTAGACTAGTCGGAAAGATTCAATGTTTTACCCGGGTAATATCAGATAGTGCATACAATCAAAAGGATCAAAAGCATTGAAAGATTGAAGGCTGGAATTTACTGACACAACAGGTGTCAGCTCTTTCAGGTGTTACACAGGAGGAAATATCAGTAGTTTGTTTCAATTAAATTACATTGTTAGGGACAATCCAGTACTTTAAAAAAACAGTACTGAAGTTTAAAAATAGACAGTAATGTCAAAATCAGAAGGGTCAGTATTTACCTTTTTTTAAATTAATGAATACACAGAATTACCTTTTAAATTCATTACATTTGGTGATGTATTTATGTAAACAATATGATCTATAATTTATAAATGTCAGCTCTTAGGTTAAGTACAGGTTAACTCACATTGTTAGCAAGTGTACTATTAAACAGCTGATAACTCATACAACTTAGATAATTTGATTTGAGTACTCTATTGATTCATTATTGACTACAGGTAATACAATTACTTACCTAGGCTGTGACCAAAGCAAGCATTTGTGTTGGAAATAGTTTTATTCTATCATAAAATTAAACAAGCATCAAAGCTTGGCATGTATGAATCTATGTATACACACATATGCATGCATATATACATGTATGTATATGCACATATATATACATACATATGTATACACTCAGATATATTCAGCATATACTCACATTTATATATACTTATGAAGGCCTATAACACATATATACATAAATATATGCACATATATAGATATATAGGGCCTATATTATTAAGTACAGTATATCCATTCTACCTGAAATTTCTTAAGTGGAATAAATGAATTAATAAATGGCAGAAAAATGCACTGTTTGGAAAAAATGTTTTTTCTTTTGGCTTAACTACAGAACAACATTTCTGTACAAACTATACACATCACAGTCCCACACACAAGTGTAATATAATCATGTTCGATTTTCAGATCTTATTATTTAGTTAATGTAAAAAACATTTGTGATCTTTCGGATTCAAAAAAGAGGTAAAAATAAATTGTTTTCCTGCAGAAGTGAACACTGGGAAAACATGTTCTAATCTCTAGATAAGGTTGAACATGTTCAATTGTTATTCACAAGGAACAAAAAATACTCTATAATGAGAGTCGTTTAAAACAAATAATAAAAAAATATCAGAGAATTCGGGGTAAACTGAGACAGGCTTAAAATATAATGGTGGTTTTAAACTCAACAATCACTACAAAAATCTTTTTAACAATGTTACAAGGTTCTGCATACACAACATGAAGTATCTAAGGTTTGCATAACTTTAAATGAAGAAACAAATAGAGTTATTCTGTTGTTGATAAAGAATTAATATTTTATCAATTTGCGGACTTATAAAAAAAAAATTGAAACAATAGGTCTGAGACACTCCAATAGGTCACAGACACTCCAATAGGTCATAGACACTAGTCAGGGTGAAATATTTTCACAATAAAACCTACATCATTTACACTGATACCTTTAATGCTTATCTAAAACATAAGTGACAAAACATTTCAAGGTCTGACTTTTTGTAAAGTAAGATGAAGTGGTTCTATCTGACATTAAAATCTTTGCCTAAAAAATAGAGGACGATCTACCTGATATTTAAGTTTTTACCAACACTAAAAGAGGATGATTCTACCTGATATTCATGTTTCTACCTGGACAAAAGATTATTCTACCTGATAGTCATGTTTCTACCTGGACAAAAGATTATTCTACCTGATATTCATGCTTATACCTGAACATAGGATGAACTTACTCTCCCCACCAGACACCCAGATCTTTACATGAACAGAAATGAGGTTGTTCTCCCCTACATTGAGAAGTGTAAAGCACCAATGCTGACAGAGCCTGTAAACTACCTCGTACACTAAACACTTTGGAAGGATACCAAAACAACAGCAGAAAGAATGAGAAAGCGACTGTGAGAAATTTTTCTACCTTCTATAGTTACTAGTAATTATACATACTTTTCCCCCAACTTAGTGATATATGATGGAAAACCTGGATTGGAATATAATCAGCAAAAAACTCAGCTTTGTTTAAATCAAAACATTGAACTTGCAATTACAATTTTTTTTCTTAATTGCTTGGGACTAGATACTTCTAAATAAATCTTTTCAATCACAAATTTATTTTCAGTTAAAAACAGTAGTTAGTTGCCTATATAAACAGCTTTTGTATTAAGTATATTGCACAAGTAACATCAGTCCATGGTTACCCAAGTAAAGTTAAATAAAATGTTGCCAAAGGACCATAATCATTTTAACACATTTCTATGTATACTAATATATGAAGCTATAACATGAAGTTATAATTTTTTAAACCAGATCTATCTACATATATATACACACTCAATTCTATTTACATCATCATCACTGATGGGTGACCACCTAAACAAAATATTCATTTTTGTCCCAGTCATTGTCGGTGACATTGTCAATGTCCGTCACTGATGATCTGTCATCTGTATTGTCAACCTCTGTCACCAGCGACATGTCATCTGGCCCAGTAGTTAAGTTGTCATTTAAAAAGTTATCTTTCGTCACATCATCTTCATTCTTTATGAACATTTCTTCATTGTCAATTTTCAGAATGAAGACATGGTTATCGTTAACTTGATTATTATCAGGAGAACTAAGCTTGTGTTCGTTACCTGGGGTTGACGGAGATGAACTACCTTGGACATTATCAGCATGTAGGACTACAGTCAAGTCCACTGTTGTATTAGCAGAAGAGTTGTTGTCATTACTTCCTGTTGACACGCCCTCAACAATGATGCTAGCTTGTGGAGGTACAGCCTTGACCTCAGCTTGTGGAGGTACAGCCTTGACCTCAGCTTGTGGAGGTACATCCTTGACCTCAACTTGTGGAGGTACAGCCTTGACCTCAGCTTGTGGAGGTACAGCCTTGACCTTAGCTTGATTGACAGCAGTCGTCTCACTGGCCTGAGTTAAAGAGCTATCTTTAGAGTTGTGGTCAGGGTTTGAGGACTGACCGCTGCGGCTCATGGCGTCCTCCTCCCTGGATTTATCCTCACACGAGCTACTGGAGCTGGACTGGAGATTGTCCCCATCCTCGTACTGCTGGGACTCAGACCTCACCTCACCGCCAACGTGCTCGTTGTAGAGCCGGGTGCGCTCCAGGAAACCTTCCAGATAGCTGAGTCTGGGGGGAAGACTCATGCGGGACCAGTGGCCTCTGGTGATGGATGCACGGTCCTCCCCAAAGCACTGAGTCTCGTCACCTGCTTCATTCATGATGCTCTGTTCTGAGAAGTCCATGTTGATTAACTCCACCTAGGGGTCAAACAAATTACAGAGTAATTAAACTGGTATATTTGTGAATAAACAAATCACATATTTGACATTCATTTAGGAGAAAGACAATGTTTTTATGAAAGAAATGTCTACATTTGAAAGATTTAATGCATGCTACCTATTTTAAGAAACATAAACTCCACTTAATTTGCCTGATGGATTGCTAGGTCTAAAGAAGATTCTTTACTTTTACCTAATTTAAGACCTGTCACTCTTAGCCAAAAGCTATTTTAAGCTACAGTTCAAATTAAAAGAGGATATCACTTTGGGGATTTGAGTGATATCTAATTATTTCTTCTATGCACACATATTTGTTACAAGTTTTTTAAAACTTATTTTTCTTAAAAGTTGTTAAATTGTTTCAAAAAGTAGCTCACTAATATACTTGGTATAAAGAATATATAAGGTATATATGTGACCCTCTATGACCGTTTCAATAATAATAGAATATCATAAACAGATCGATAAGCTTTATAATTAAACGAGCCGACCCGCGGCATATCATACGCCGCTATTTAGTTGTTTTTTCTACTTTTCAATAATTCATAATTTGTGAATTCGACACTACCAACGCTGCCACTGAAAATATTTCTTTAAAACACTATAAGTAGCTAGTTAAGGACGATAACCCCCCCCCCCCTCCGTTAAAGTAAACTCCACTTAGTTACCCCCCCCCCCCACGTTTAAAATCATTTCAAGCTAAATTATCTGCCCCTAATAGCCGTCACTAAACCCGGCTCTGTTTGTAAACATTTAGAGTGAACCATAGTTCATTAGACCATGTAGGGGTGGGGCTGGTAGGGAGAGTGTTTACAGCTTGTTTTCTAGCGTCTCCCAGAAGAGAATTATATATATAGATTTAAAAAATTAAAATTAAGGGGAGAGAATGTTGTAAGACCAGCTGGACTAACCTGGTCGTCGTCCAGCATAGGGCCTGTGCTGGCAATGCTCTCAGTGTCCGAGCCATCGGATGGCGGGGGCTTCAGAAATGCTCCTCTATTGCTGGATGCTGACAGGGAGTCACTTCTCCCAGACAGGGAGACTCTATCCGCGGATGGCGAGGATGGCGTTGGTGAAGCCAGCTGGTGCCGGATTGCTGTTGTCGTGGAAACTGGATTCGGGGAGGGTGGGTTCCAGGTGGGGGAGGGAGTCGGGGGGTGGCTGGTCGTCGGTAGAGTGTATGACGCGCTGAGTGTGGACGGTGCGGTTTTAGAGTTGTAGTTCCCCACTTTAGCAGAGTTCATCATCTTGCTGAGGTGCTGGGTGATCAGAGATGTGGGGGGTTTAGCTGTGGGGAGAGAGGTGGGGATCTGTACGGTAGACTGGAGAGGTGTTGTTTTCTCCGCTGGAAATGCTAGCTGTTGGGTTGAGATAATCGGCTTAGCAATAGAAGGGATGTTCTGCTGTACAGAGGTGGAGTTAAGGCCGATGGAGTCGACACCTAAGATAAGACCCTGTAGTTTAGGAGATTTTCTGTGCAGGGATGGTGAAACAGTCTGTGGATTTTGGTCTGCGTCAGTGTTTTGCTGTGATGAGAAAACTTGGGTTCGATAAATCGGTTCAAAATGACTTGAGTTGAGGGTTGGGTTGTACGAGGTGCTGATGGAGACCCGCGGGGGTTCATGCTGTGAAGGTTGCAAGGACTGAGGCCAGGGGTGTTGTTTCATGATGTCGCTGGTCAGCGACGAGGACAGTTCGGATTTGGGGGACTGGGAGATGGACAAAGATGAAGATGACGCATCAATGAGACTCTTGGACTTGACAAACCTTCGCTGCTGGGGTATGGGCGACTTGTTGACCCACTCCTGGGCGCGACGCACGCTCGAGTGTTCAAGGTCGCGGGAACCCACGGAACAGGACAGCGGGGACATCTGTCTGCTGACGTCCTGGTTCCTGTCCTCACCAGGTAGTATCAATATATCTGAGGTAGGTGTTAGAGTCGCTTCCTCCTCGGTGCCTTCCACAATGCTATTGGTTCTAACCCAGCTGGAGTTGTCTTGCGGCGAGTGACTTGACATTTCAATGGCCGCTCTATAGCTAGCACTACGACTTCTGGCGGCGCCGGATGAGCTGACAGACAGAGGTTCCTCGGCTGGTTTGGTGGTGTGCTGGGCAGAAGGACTCAGCTCTTTGGTTCCAGAGGTTGTTTTAAACACCACAACGTCTAGCGGATCAGGTTTGAGGCTGCCGTCTTTTAGCAGGGCTTCAGTGATGGAAGTTTTTTTTCGGAAAGCTGGTTCGTGGCATACTATCCCTGTTGGCCTGGTACAAAAAATGTTTTAAAATCTTAGATTATAAATGGCCTAATTAAAAATACAAATTTTTAAAAAATCAAAAGACATAGCATAAAAAATTGATTGCATGAAATGTATCATATGGACCTAAAAATAATTTCAGAATTAAGCATATCAATCTAATTAATGAAATTTTTCTTTACTAAAGCAAATTTTAAGAGTATTTTAAGTATCAATATTTTATTGAATAAAAAACAATCTTTCATTCCAATAAGTTAAAATAAAGTTGTATGTGTTTTCAAGCTAATCAACTTAAGCTCCAGCTGAAATATCAATTTTAAATACCTAACAGTACATTTTTCACATCAACCGAAAAAAAAAAAAATCAAAGCCAACCTATTATTTAAAATGTCTGAATGTCTGGGATCCTTGTGGAGGTCATCTGTGTCTCTGTCAAAAACTGATGAAGAAGCGCTACCCTCAATGTTGGAGCCTGGTCAAATACACAAAATCAACTGTTAAAATACTTGACTCTTATTTAGCTTAGTAATATGTTTATTACTTAAATATAGGCCTACTACTTAAAATTATAAACAAGAAAAAAGTTAATTTACCACCATCAAAGAATATTAGAACAAACTATAAAATGACAATTAGTTGCAGTTTTAATGTAGAGAACAAAATCCAGTTTTTACCTTAATTAAAAAAAAGAAACAACTATTTTAACTGATTAAAACCAGACTAATATTTTCAACACTAAATAAACATCATACTGTTGTATTACTGGCTAGCAGTCTTCAACCCTGACCTTTTTCCCAAGATGGTGGTGGGGAGGGAGACTCAGCCCCCACCCCTGCTCCCCTGACCCCCAGCTCCAGCTTGCGCCTGCGCTCCAGCCTCTGCCTGTGGATGTCATCACTGATGGCCTCTAGACTGCGCAGGGCTTGGGAGTACAAGGCTTTGGTGGAGGCCACGTCTTCCTCTAGTCGACTCACAGCTCTCTTGTGTTCCTAATGGAGGGGTAGAAACTTTTTTAATATTTCACAGCTCTCTTATGCTCCTAATGGAGGGGTAGAAACTTTTTAATATTTCATCTCTTTGTAAATCCTTTATTCAAATTAAAAAAACATAAACTGAAATTGTATTGAAAATTCACCATGTCGTCAGGTCTAGTGAAAATTTCTTACAAGTAAACTGTGCCGTGAAGAAAAAAAATTGTACAGGCAAAAGAAAAAAAAATGGGAAGACTTGCATGGTACTGAGAACATTACTTAGTATGCCAGAATGCAAAGAGGGAAGGAGAAAAGGAATACAATAAGACAAATATTTGCTGTGCCCTGATGGTAAACCACGGGACAGTAGAAGCAGATGCATGGAATTCTAACAATTTTGACTAATATACATGAAAACAAAAGCATACATTCAATGTTTTAAGTATTTAAATGTGACAATGTGAATGTGGTGTTTCATCAAAGGGGCCTGTCTATCTATGGCTCCTACTGCCCACTCACCTCCATTACTTGGTTAAATTTTGCTTTCATTTCAAAATAAGGTCTGAAAAAAAGAAATAAGTTGTTTAAGACAACTATTAAATATTGAAGTTAAATTTGAATCTAAAAAATGGATTTCTAATGCCAAAATAATTTGGAATGTTAGTTTGAAAATAATGTGAGTTTTTACTTAAGCAGATGAAATTAGTTTTCTGGAAGAAGTTTTCATTACATGCTAGTACTTTTAAAAACAACATGGCTTTTAATGTTAATCAAAATCTGGTATGAGAATCAAGTTTACATGAGTTATTCCAACATATCTATCAATTCAACTCAAATTATAATAAATAAAAACTGCCTCGTAGCCCTAAAAAAAAAAAAAAAGAATGTGTGGAATTTTACTATAATCTTCTGTCTTCAGAATAATGCAACAAATGCAAAAAAATATTTTAAAAAATTTCTTTAAAACATTTTCCAAGCCTTGCTGATGCTTCTAAAAATGAATCCATTAAAATAATTTTTTCCTACTTGGATTTGGTTATGTTCCGCTTGAGATCTTTCTGCAGTTTCTGAACCTCTTCCTCCCTGCGCTTGAAGTTGACAGTAGTTTGTTGGTGGAATTGCTCACTTTCAATTCTCTCTCGCTCAGCATCATTTACCTGAAACAATAAACAATGATGTAAACAGGATGATATTTGATAAAACAAGATATTGAAACTTTGTGCAAAAAAAAGTATGCTATGGATATGAGAAGGAAACAGTGATTCAAAAAAGAAAAGTATGCAATGAGTAATGGACAAACATTTATTACATACTGATTTTACAAGAATAAAATTTCAATACTGAACAAGGAAAAAGAAAAATGTATTAGTTAAACACATTTTTCAGTATAAATAAAATGAACATTTAGCTTTTTACTTATTACTCAGCTAGTTTTTCATAAAAAAATGTTTCTCCTTATATTCAATAATTAACAGAATTACATCAATTAAGTATTAGTTGACAAAACACTATACTGCAGTAAAACCAATTTGCCACAAGAGTTACCTTCATTGTGGCATGGTTAAGTTGACCAAACGCTGTACTACAGTAAAACCAATTTGCCACAAGAGTTACCTTCATTGTGGCATGGTTTAGTTGACAAAACGCTGTACTACAGTAAAACCAATTTCCCACAAGAGTTACCTTCATTGTGGCATGGTTTAGTTGACAAAACGCTGTACTACAGTAAAACCAATTTCCCACAAGAGTTACCTGTAAAACCAATTTCCCACAAGAGTTACCTGTAAAACCAATTTCCCACAAGAGTTACCTGTAAAACCAATTTCCCACAAGAGTTACCTTCATTGTGGCATGGTTTAGTTGACCAAACGCTGTACTACAGTAAAACCAATTTCCCACAAGAGTTACCTTCATTGTGGCATGGTTTAGCATCTCCTGCCAGGTGGGGTCAAGGTCTTGCTCCCGCCGCTTGTACCCCTCCTCTGCCAGCTGGACCATCTCTTTGGCTGCTTCATGCATGCTACACGCTCTCTCAAACCTCAGTGCTGCCTTCTGGCTGTCAAGGTGTGCCTGAAAGGTAGTTTAATCATGCTTAGAACTTTACTTTGTTTTAATTATGCTTAGAATTTTACTTTGTTTTAATCATGCTTAGAACTTTACTTTGTTTTAATCATGCTTAGAACTTTACTTTGTTTTAATCATGCTTAGAACTTTACTTTGTTTTAATCATGCTTAGAAATTTACTTCAATTTAATTATGCTTAGAATTTTACTTTGTTTTAATCATGCTTAGAATTTTACTTTGTTTTAATCATGCTTAGAACTTTACTGTTTTAATCATGCTTAGAATTTTACTTTGTTTTAATCATGCTTGGAAAATATACTTTGTTTTAATCCCTTGAACATCAGAACGCAAGGTGCGCCAGAAAGATAGTTTAATGGTGCTTAGAATTTTACTTTGTTTTAATCTCTTAAACCCAAGCCCTGTATATTGTTGGCTGTCAAGGTTTGACTGAAAGATAGTTTAAATTTTCTTAGAAATTTACTTTGCTTTAACCCCTTTCTTTTGGCTGTAAAGGTGAACACTAATGAAAAATAAATTAAAAATGTTTCTTTCTTAAGATTTAATAAAAATAGTATGTGTCTAAAATATGTAAAAAGAGATTTCATGAGTGACCAACTACAAATACCAAAAATATGAAAACTGATGTGTATTCTTACATATTAAAAAAATAAACAGTAGATCTAGTTTTAATTGTTATTTATTCATTTCTTTTGTTTTTGTTGAAACGCTTTTCATTTTTAAAAGAACTATAAAAATAAAATTTATTATTCATAATAAATTATAATTGTTCTGGGTTAAAAAACCATTTGTCATATGTGTACGTGCAGCTACTACAAAACAACACAAGATCATCTGCAGGAATTAAATCTCACCTCCTTCAGTCTCATTCTTGCATCATAATACGGCCTTGCCTTATCCACACACGCCCCAAGTTTTTTGGCCAGGCCATTCAATCTTTGCGTCGAGTCAGATAACACAGTACGGAATGCTGCCCTAGCATCCTGTTTAAATAATAAACAGAACCTCAATGAGCAATTCAGCATTTCTGTTTGTAACAATCACTTTATATGTAAGTATCATACAACATTTAGCTAATCTAAGAGATGATATGAAATAGATAGAAGTTTCTCAAGGATACAAATGATGAAGTAGAGTATATCCCCTTCCTACATGGTGGCTGAATATGTACACATTACATATGACCACCTATTTTTTTTCTAAGTAAAAACACACATTTTAAAATTTGTTTTTCACTATTTGTACTCCAGCACATCTTTTCTACAACATAAGCACAAAGTTTCATTTTTTTTTATTGCTTTACATTGTAAATATTCGAACCGGAGTAAAATAAAAAAGTGGACTTCATTTTGGTGAAAATATTTGAAAATTAGAAACATATTTCCAAAATGGCTTCTGAATTGTGTATTCTTCAAAACAACATGCTTCATTCTAATAATAAGTAAATAACAATCCAGAACTGCATGTTATAAATAAGTTGTTACTGGCATTTATTGAGACATGTAAAGTTTTGTACACTTCATAATTTGCATTATAGTTGACAGATACATATTAAACTTGGTATACAATGTCAGGACACCCATAACATCATCATCCATACATGGAATAATTTTTCAGACACAAAATCCTGATGTAGTGTTGAAAGGGTATATCTTGACATTTATTATGAGCCCATGTCAAATCAGGAAAACAGTGAGATAAATCAAGACATCATGGACAAGGGACATATTTTCGTATATAATAGAGCCTTTTTTAAACTACCCCTCTTCTGGGTTGGCTATTTTTCATCTTTCTTTTTATCAAAAACATTACTTCATCTCTTGGCATTTGCCATGCTACAGCATGAAATAATTTGTCCAATTTCCTGAAAAGCAATATGCTCTGAATCTCTTTAACCCAATTATCCTGAAGTATGGGGATAGTTAAAAAGTACACAGACTAAAAATTACCTAGGAATAAGAGAAGATCTAGTTCTTTCATGGGACTGAAAACTACATCAGATTTTATCAATTTTTTATTGGAGTTTATTTTGTAATGAAACATTTATTAAAGCATTAAACCAAATAAAACATAATTAAACATTAGCTTAAAGCAAATCAAATGTAATCAAACAAAAGGTTAAGTCAAAAAAATTGTATTTAAAACTCACATCAAGTTCTAACTCTAGTCTGTTGATTTCCTCACTAGCCCTGTTTAATTTCTCTAACTCAATCTGAAAGAAATGGATAATTCATTAGACTAATTAAAAATAGATACAATGAAATGGCCATATAAATTAATAATAAGTAAAAATAACTTTTAATAGATTTTAACTGTTGTTTTAATTTCAAGGCAGCATATAAAAAACAGAATGTACGAATATTTGTAATGTATTAGTACAATACATTTTTGTTTCAATGGATTCTTCCAAAAAGATACAACAAAACCATTTTCGGAAGCATTTATTTTATTTTTAAATTTTCTTTTCAAAGCAGCTTATTTTGCATCATGTCATTGCAATATAGTGGATGGACAATGGATTGTGCCAAATAGAATAGAGTGTCATTACAAACAAATAACTAGCCTTAACTATGAATGGTAGTAGAAAAGAATAAAGGCAGATGGTCACTATCTCCTGGAACTGTAGTTTAACAAAAACTACATCACCTGTTCTTCTAAGTTTCAGTTCTAATTAGAATTCTTTATATGGACTATCCTAAATTTAGCCAAACAAATCAGTTGTATGGCATTATCTGGTAGTACATGGTCGTATGGTAGAGCATGTAACTGCTAAACCAAAGGTCTCGCATTTACGTCCTCGGCATGAGTGTGTAGAATGTCCCTGAGTCCACATCACTCTGATGGGTAATTGACTTATGTTATGGAAAGTAAAGGCAGCTGGGCATAGTTCTGACAACACTATCTTGTCATATGACTATGTCACCAAATCAAAAGAGCTTGACTTATCTAACCTATGGCCTGCCAGATTCAAAGTGGTTATACGTTTACTTTGTATCAGCTACAATCTCATATCCCTTGGGCAAACACAGGCATAAAACCACCCAGGTATAAAAAAATAACCCCACTCAGGTAGATCATAAGTCAGTTGGTAATTAAAACAAGGTATTGATTTTTGTGGGGACAACTTTGTATTGTGCCTCATGCTATTAAACATTAATGAATGTATGGTTAAAAATAGTACAGTTCATATTTCATTCAGTTATTGAAATAAACAACTGGTTTTAAAATTACTGCTGTATACTTTAATGTTTAGTATTTTTACAATTGTTATAATAAGACAATAGAACATTTTTGCAGTGTGAAGAAAAAATTTAAAAGAATATAAAAGTAAAAAAAAAAATGTTTATAAATATAATGTAAAAGAAAATAATTCTCTTTATCTATCTGTTTGTCTGTCTACCTACCTACCTACCTACCTATAAATAAATAAATTAATCAATTAAAAAAAATTATATATATATATATATATATATATATATATATATATATATATATATATATATATATATATATATATCTTACCTGGATTCTTGGATCAAGCTCTTCTTCCTCCTGCTCCTCCCCTCCTGATGGTGTTCTATGGCGCCGTATATGGTGATGGTGAGAATGGTGTGGGTGGATGTAATGAGATGGAGGGGACTGACTTTGATGAGTTTCAGACATTTTTAGTGTATGCGTTGTTTACTAAGGATCTGTTTTAGGCATTTTTTAGCCAGGTTCCTTCATAAATACATTCTCACGTCAATATTTATATTCTAAATCCATTGAATACTAATGCAGTCATCTACATGATTTTTTCTTTATCTCTACAAATAAATATGTGTGTACTAAGGACTTTTTACTTTTGAAACTGAAACATTCCCTTGTGTGTACAGTCATTTACTTTTCTGTAGACCTTGTTGCTCACATACCTAATTAAGAAAAGAATTCAGAAGATTTAGAAACGAGTTCCAACTAGAATACGAATATTAGAAGTATAAGTGAAAATAAACTAAAGTAACTTAAAATAAATAGTTATTAAAACGAGATATAATAGAATAAAAAAATCACATTTTGAATGTAGATAAATATGAATAAATGAATGTACACATTATTTTTAAGCGTTTTATTATTTTTTTTAAAAGCATGTTTTTTTTATAATATTTGGTAAATTTTTTTAGGTTCATAAGGTCATATGTCAGGTACATTTCCTGTGGCTTTAAGTCACTCAAAAGAATTAAAATGGTCAATTCTGGGTGTTATTTTGTCTTAATATTACTATTTTAATATATTGAGCAATATATGTTGAGCAAAAAAAAAAGTGGTCAGACGAATATGTACAATATGAATTTACATTACGTATACAATCAGTATTTTTTATAATTTATCCACATGTTGAGCTTAATCATTGATCCGTAGCATGCCTGCTTCCTCCTAAGAGTTTAACCTTCTTAAGTTTAAGACAGAGCTTTATCGGAAAGCAGCACCAAGAAGAGGAAGCCTATTATTAAGATCTGCACTTCATCACAAAAAAAAAATAACAAAAACACAAAGCAAACTTGGTTACCCCACCAGTTATGTCTCAATGTATATTTCTATTCTTTTTAGTAGCCTATTTTGTGAATTTCAAGACTCCAGAGGATTTCACATACTTTTCTAAGATTAGATATCTATTTGGACATTAAATATTGGTGGAAAGGACAGAGGCGTAGCGACCCTTCCCGGCGCCCGGGGACAAACTTTTCGATTTGCACCTCCCCTCGAGATTATGATTTGCACCCCCCCCCCCTCAAACTTCCAATTGGCACCCCCCTCAACCTTTCAATTTATTTTTCCAACCCATTTTGACGCCCCCTAAGGTCGGCGCCCGGGGACATATGCCCCCCCCCCCCCCCTCTCGCTGCGCTATTGGGAAAGGAAAACGGTCACTTCATAAATTATGATAAATTAATCAATGTGCCATTGAAATTGTTGAGTTAGGTAGGCCTCTACTCTAGATCTCAACTGTGTGGATTTCTTATACTTATATACCAGTATCCGATGCTAGAATCTTCTTAAAAAGGGGTGTTACTGTTAGGTTACTGCTAGTTAACTAAATACACATATACACATATGACTAAATTGACTTGCATATATCAATGCTAAACCTATCCAGAACTCCAACTCTAGTCCTACCAAGTGCCTAACCCGAACTAGTAACTTCTAACTAGAAGAGTTAGCAATATTGAATATTACTAACACATGTTGGAAATTATCCATTCATTTTTGTTGAGTTTTGCAAACATAAGTTACTGTAAACCATAGTTTATTTGACCTGACAACAATTAGGCCCTAGAAGATCTAATTATAGAATCTAGATAAAAAAATAAAGTCAAGAACAGCAATTCTATTCCCTAATGTTTTTAAAAAATATGCACAAAAATAACAGCTTGCTGAAAGTTTGCGAAAATTAGCTATAGTAAAAAATTATTAGGCTACTAAATTATTAAAAAAGACTAAAATAATGCTTAGGCTTAGTGAAAATTGATTAGGAGCAATTAGGGCCTATTAGCAATAGGCTGTAATTTTGTGATGGTGTGTGATGAGAGGGAAGGGGGGTTCACACTTTTGTGACGTCACACTTTTGCATTATAAAAAAGCAATGTTAGAAAACGAATTGTAGACGTTATTTAGCATTTTAGAAAACTGTTATAATATATTGTAATATGAATTGATTAAAATACTGACAGAGTTCAGATTTTGGAAAAATATAGTATTTTAAGAAAAGTTCAACTGCAATTTTGAGGCTAACGTGTGACATCATTTTAGGGGTGGGGGTCTGGCTTTTTGTGAGGATGTGTGACGGGGGGGGGGGGGAAAGGTAAAAATTGTTAAAAAAGCGTGACGTCATTTATGGATGACCCCTTGGCCCTCTGTAAATAAAGTTAGTAGTAGTAGGATCTATCCCTAGCTTGGCCTCAACCAACCAATGGGCTTGTTGCATTTGAGTTAAATATAAACTCAAAATAATAGGGCCTAGCTAATATTATAAAGGCCGATTCTAGCCGGAAAAAGATACTCATGCGCAATGGAGAGAAACTATGACTTGCCTTCGATGGTACGGCGCATGCATGTGTTTACAACCACAGAACCCTAGCCATAGCTCAGCTGCGCATAACTATTTTTTGGCGACCAAGTGGAGAAGCTGGGAAGAAAAATCTTTTTCCGAGTAGTCACACTTCGTATTATAAACTATGTTCTTTCAATCGGTATGGCCTATCTATGCTATAGCCTACTTACTACTTATTTATTTTTAGCTAGATCTAACTTGTAATTGTAACTTAAACTTTTTGATCCCCACATTTTCGTTTTTGTACAAACAAGCCTTTTCTTTTCTCACCAAAGTTCGAACTCACAAACTCAGTTTGTCGTTTCGATCCATAAAGGCTAAAGGTCTAGAACTAGATTTTCGATCTAATAAACAAAAAAAATGCCGACCAGATCGATATCAATACTTACAGTGCAGAGGTCTAGAGAAATAGTAAATACGAAAAATCACAATTTATTCCATTTGTTTAACTTGATGTTAGTTAACGTTATCTTGGTGAATCCAAGATCATCATATTATCACATTTTTCTGCTTGCATATTCTAAAAAAATTCCAGTCAAGTAGGTCTACACTAGTTTGAAAATCGTTAGAATTTTTACTAATATTAATAAATCGTGATTTTGTTACATAAATTTAAACAGAAATATTATAAAGAATATTATTTTCAGATTGTATGAATAAAACCCAAATTAACAAATTAAGAAAAAAATTAACATATTTTCAAAATTTAAAATGAAAATGTAATCGATAAATATTATGATGTCGGGTCAAAGTTGAAATTTAGTAGGCGGTGGTTCGTTGTTTATAAATATAGAACTATGACATGACCTGGAAATATTGTTTCATGAAAAGAAACATAACAAATTAACATGAAGATAGATAGACGCACCGGGATTTTATGAAATCAAGCTTTGAAGGAAAAACTAACGGTGCGTACCATACTTATACAAACTAATTATTAAAATATTTTGATTTGTCTGTAATGAAATGTCATGATGAAAACGTAGTAGGGTAGGCTGAGCCTAGTCTGAATTTCTGCTACTGACAGTGACTGCTAGGGCAGGTTAGGATAAAAAAAAAAAACAGGCTCGGTCAGTTTCCGAGTTTCTCAGTTTACTGTTCGTAAGTCTATTTAATTTAGATCTAGATCTAGATATAGAATCTAGATTTTAGGGCTACCCACATTATAAAAAGTCTAAAATAAATGTTAAGTCTTTAGTAATTGGGCCTATATGATATCAACAAGTATGTTCGAGATACTAGTAATTGTTTTATTGTTAGTAACATCAGTGTAATCAAGTGTAATTGCAAACCATTGTAGTTGTATACATTGTTTCCTATGACCTATAGATCTTATACACCTACTACTAATTATTAGTAGGTCTACATAGTACTAGAATCTACATACTAGGCCGACATAGACTGATAATTGGAGTTAACCCGCACAACTGGTCTAAACAGTCTAAATATAGGCCTATATAAAAATACTGTAGGCTGTGGGCTTGATCTTCCATGAATATTATTAGGCCCCTATTTTTAGTAATTAAAATGTTTATATTTAAAACTAAATAACTAACAAACTAGTTGTTTTTTATGCTAAAAGCTAAAATTCACATATTATCAGTACGTTTGGGTCATTTATAGATTTACCTAATTTTTATATCTTCGATAGCATGGGGGTTGTCTGGCAAATACATCTTTCAGGCATCTCTTCTGGGGAAGGGGGGGGGGGGCAAAGACAGTCTGCCCCCCCCCCCCCCCCCCCCTATCCAGAACAAAATTAAATTTTAATAGAAAATATATACTTTAACTAGTGTCTGCCCCCCCCCCCTTAAATTTCAAGTGCCTCTCCCTCACCCCGGAGAAAAAAGTCTGAAAGAAGCACTGCACCTGCCTCTCCCAACGCAGTGACGATGGGGGTCAAAAATAGAGCACAAGACTGCTAACCTGAAAGTCTCGGGTTCGGATCCCCTTGGAGGTCTTTGAGTCCATCCAGCTCTAATTTTTTGTGTGACTTTTTAAACAATAAATAGCAAAAAATATCTGTGAAATCTTGAAAAATGTTTTCTTTTATTTTGTATCTTAAACATTTGTAATAAGCCTAGATGTTCCTGATTAGTCTTTTATTACAGTTTACACAAAAAAGCTACTAAAAATGCTAAATAACTGAGAAAATTCATAATAAGCAAATACCTTAATTAAAAACAAAAACAAAACAGTTTTTACGTTACACTTTCTGACCCCCACCTTCACTTACTTACACATTGTCACAAAAGTCCCCCCCCCCTTCCAGATGCATGACGTTGTTGGTAGATAACCTGTTCATATCTTCTATATATATAATTCTCTTCTTCGAGCCGTTAGAAAACAAGCTGCAAACGCTCTCCCTACCTCCCCACCCCTACATGGTTTTAGTGAGCTGTGTTCACTCTAAATGTTTACAAGCAGAGCCAACGATTTTAAACGTAGGGGGGGGGGGGGAGGGGGGGGGGGGAGGGAAGGGGGGGGGAGGAGGGGGGGGGGTTATGGTCCTTAACGAGCTACTTATAGTGTTTTAAAGAAATATTTTCAGTGTCAGCGTTGGTACTGTCGAATTCACAAATTATGAATTATTGAAAATTAGAAACAACTAAATAGCGGCGTATGTTATGCCGCGGGCCGGCTCGTCCTTAATATTTATCTATCCCGCCCGCCCTCTCCCCACCCCTTCATTGCTACAGACAAGGGGGGGGGGGTAATAATGTCACTACATCCTGTTTTTTCTCACAAAACGTTTATCCACTTATCTCTCAAGCACGTCTTCTTTTTTTTTTTTGGATCTTGTCCAGATAGGCCTCGTCAGAAAGTTAACCCCCCGCCACCCAAAAATGTTGATAAAAACTAGGAAATGAAACTTGATTTTATTGAAGAGGTTAAAGTTGGGATATGTCATTGATACTTTGTATGAAAAGGCCTGTTTACCTTTAACCCTAACCCAACCATAGAGGCGGATGATACGTTGTTTTTATGGCGTGCGTTTAAATATTCAAATGTCTAGACATCAGAAATATTCAAATAGGTCAAAGTTGGCGTGACTTAACTTTTCGCCCGCGCACTTTATATTAGTAGCGGGGCTTATCTGGACAAGATCCCCCCCCCCCGGGGGGGGGGGGGGAGGGGGGCGGGGCGGACACTGGTAAAAGTATATGTTTTCTATATAAATTCCATTTTTTTCGGCGGGACGGTAGACTTTCTTCCCCCGAAGAGATGCCTGGAAGAAACTCTGCTTGAAACCATTGGTTCCTCAACGCTTTGGTTCTGTTTATAATTATATATATATATAAAAGATAGATACTTGCATTCTCGAAAAGTATGTATCGCCGATACATATACCTAAACCCTCAGGCGTAGGCTAAAGTTTAAGATCAGTGTTATTTTAGTGGTTTATTAGTGTAGTAGTTTCAAGGTTTATTAAAAAAAACCGCGGATAAATTCAGACCCAGAGTTGCCTCACGTCTCTGATTGAAATCGTGATTAACTTCGGCCTAATTAAAAAACTTTTTGCCTAAATAAAGTTAATTAAAAAAACTTTTTGCCTAAATGACACGAGCACATAGGTTCAGTGCCGGCACCAGGTTATTTAACGCCCTAGGCAAAACTTATTAAACCGCCCCCTTTTACACAAATTAATTAATACAACATTTGTATAAGAATTCAATGAATTAAAAGTGGCATATTGATTTATTATAAATTACATAAACGTTATAATTAATATGTAGACATCAAAATTCAAAATCAAATTTTACTTGCCTCCTTCGCCTGCAGACCTCCCAAGGTGAGTCCCAGAACGGAACTTACCTGTTTTAAACTTGACTGTCTTTAGTTAAAATTGTAAAATGTCTATATTGTGTGATTATGTAACGATTATTTTGTTGTTGAAAAATAAAAGGTTATAAATGTTATAGATTTCAGCCTACAATTATAATACTGTAGGAGAGGGTGAAAAATATTAAAAAGACACTTAAGCAGATGATTAATTTGCGACTAAAACGATTTTAGACGAGTTAGTTGCACTATCTCATTCTATATGTCTACTAATATTAAGTATTGCAATCTACAACGGCTATTGATGTATTTGTTTTTCAACTTGATAATGCTAAAAAAACAACCTACCAAACTGTTTTGTTTTGAACTTCTGTTCTGTATAATTTTTTTACAATAGTAAATAATAACTTAAAGTTGTATTTATGAGTAAGCAGTCAATCTATTCTAAGGTGCAGGAATTTGAAATGAATGTAGAGTTAAAGAATGAATTATCTCCCATTTAAAAATCCTAATACCAAAATTTCATTCAAGGGAAATAACTTACACAAGAATAGCTAAATTGACCGAGTGTAACTAAGACATGCTTGAAAAACACAAAAAAACTCTTAAAATTTCATTACCTAATCATTATAACTATTTTTTAAAATATTAACTATGTAACCTGCCAAAACAATATATTTTACTAGTTGACTTCTTAACTCTAGGTTGTTTGAAAGTATAAACATAGTAGCTTTATTTTAACATACTTCTAGTCAATATCGACGACATTCATGAAAGTGTTGTGTTCTGCAAACATCAAATTAAATTCTTAATTTTGGATCCCCAAAATATTGGGACGCCTTTATAAAAATCAAATACGTAGTAGGGAGGTGGGGGTGCATCTTCACCAACGCGAATAAATGTAGGCCTATAAAGGCTAAATTTGGGGGTTGGGGTGCAACATTGATAGCTCGTCCTGGTCTCCGAAATAGATTGCTAAGCCTTTGTATATTGCCATCTATAGTTTATAAAAGATATTCAAAGTTAGTAATTATTAGGTACTTTTTGATAATGGCGATTACACATTTTTGCGCTCCCACTAGGGATGGCGCTCTAGGCGACCGCCTAGTTAGCCCTATAGGTAGCGCCGGCCCTGCATAGGTTCAAACAAGTTGGTTGGTTCAAGGTTCACTAGTGGTTGGCAAAGAAATAACAGAACGAACAAAAAACTTAGACACGAACAAACACGGAAGCTAGTCTTGTTTGTTGATTCTTTTTTTTAGCTGGCACGTTGGTGTGTCTACTTTGATTGTCACGACGGACTTCGGAAACAATCGGATGAGCTCGGCAATAACCGTCGTTGTTCAAATTACAGAGGGGGTTTATTAATAGCACATTGAACTACAAAACACGGTAGTCATCGCTTTGCGAAATCGTCTGCTAGGGGGCCTATGAATCTACCAACATAAACATTGTTAAAGGCCAACAGAAGATTTCTGTACAAGGTTGGTTTGGTATTTTCGCCTTTCTTTATTTTGGAATTATAAGTGAGTTGTTTGATAATTTTGTTTTGCTTAAAATCCTTTGCTGATCAGGTAGCGAATGTGTTTAAGATGACAGTATGTTGCTTTCATATTAAGGGTTTTGACTTATGGGTCATTAGCATAAATAACAGACCCCCTTCTTCTTCGTCTATTTCAACTTCCAGTAGAG